CACCGACAAAATATGGACAATTCGTTTCTCTAATTGAATTTGTTTGGTTTCAGTTTCAGTTTCAGTTTATTCTCATTTTGACTGTGTTGATCAACTTGAATATGTTAATTCTTAATTTGGACCTGTTCATTCTGAATTTGAATATGATTCTTCCCAATTTGACTTTGTTCATTCTCATTTTGAATCTGTTTACCAAATTGGATGTATTCAATTCCAATTTGGAATTCCTTAGTCTCAATTTGAACTTGAAAAGGTATATATTATTATATAACGACCATATATAAAGACCATTATTATTATTATTATTATTATTATAAACCAGTCGAATCGTGAATCAGGTAGGTGATTACTATTGAGAAGCCAAATTATCCACCTCGTCAATGTGCCAGAAGCGCCACCAGGTCCAGAAAACGGCAAAACTTTTGACCTTGTTCCAGTTTTTTCGAAGTTTCAGTATAAAGGACTGGTTTCACTAAACAAAACATTCAGTCATATTTTGAAGAACAATAGGTATGTAACATTCATTATTTTCCTAATTGTAGAATCTTTCAAGTGAGTTACATATACTTTGATGTGATTTAATGTAATTGCACTATATTGTATGAACAGCTTTTGTATCATGCAATGAACATACACATTCAGAACTAGTTACACAATAAACTATTCTCGTCAATATTTCCCAATATCTTGCTAATGGTTCCATGATATCGGCCCAATGTTATCCCAAAATATGTGAGCTAAAATATCTGGCTGTATCAACTCTCGTTCTATTTCAATCGGAGTTATGAGAGAGGTCGTCAAACAGCTAATTTAACCATGATTGATTCCGGTTGCCTTCACAACGTTCCTGATTATGCGGTTGCGACGGTGGCCAATGAGGGATTCAATTTTCACTCTAACACGATTTTCCTTCGGCACTGATTCACATTCAAGCCAGGTCGCTGGTGTGGGTGGAAAACCTCTTTGGTCTACACTCTACATGGTCATACACTGAGTGCCCAAACCTCGTTTGAATGGAGACATTCCCTTGAGTACAATATGTTGTGATTGCTAATGACGTCAACGTTATTGTATCGGTTGTCTTAGATCTGGTTGTGGTTAGCTGTGTTTGATTTCCTGAAAATAATTCATGAAAAGCCTCTATTATATCCATATGATACAGTTTTTCTTGAAAGTCACGTACTATATATTAGACAACTTCATTACTATAACATATTAATATATACTTATACAAAAACAGGCACCTACTAAAAAATCCAGAACACTGTTACAACACAAGACAAAACGTAGGTATTTATGCTACCGTTAAAACTATTAACAAAACAATTGCAAAAAAATGTTATACATACCTTTCGTCGGTAATCTTCAATAAACTCCACGAAACTTATAAAAATTATCTCCTGGAAATAAATAGCCTGGAAATACTTCAATCTGACCGTAAAGAAATACAGAAAATAATTCAACCTGATCCTCTCGGTTGAAGTTTCCCTCGCTCATTCATTCATTCATTCATACCTTTTTTTCATTTTTGCTTCCCTACATTTTCACATTTTAATAATTATACATTCTATATATCTTCACATTCTTATACTTTTATATTTGTATAGTTTTATATTTACAGCAATTTTTGAACTTTTATACTATACGCTTTTATGATTCTCTACTTGTGCAGAAACTACTGATGTATCTGTTAACAATATCACATGTTTAGGTACTGTTTCATCAAACACTAATAATCTATTATATTGTAATATTCTTATACCCATTTACAACCGTCCATGGTTTCTTTGGGTCATAGATTAAACAAACAATGTTTAATCTATGTTTGGGTTCTCTCCTGTTGCAAAGGAACATTATAGATATATCTTTCAATGAAATTTTACATGTTGAAACCAAACTCAATGTAATTCATTGTTGCAATAAATTATATATATTATATTATTTGACAGCAGGAAATATTTAGTACAATATTGTCATAAACTGTAGGCAGGGGTTGCATAAGTTGTGCTCTAGCTTCACAGAATGAACTTCAAAAGTGAGAATAATAATCAATACTCAAAAAAGGTTTTCTAACGAAACATATACACACGTTCATTCTTCAAATATATAATAAATATAAGAAATTCAACTCACCCTATAAGTATACATTATGAAGCTAATATTTCTAGGACCTTAGAGGAAGGGAATCTACCTGTGCTGGCTTCCTTGCGCCTTTTATATGTTCAATCTACATTTTTGGAAACGTGACAGTGAGGAAGTCTGGTGGATATTCCTGGTTCGTTGAAGTCAATGCCAATCGAAAGTTCGTGGTTTGATAACCCTATTGGTGACAATATTTCTCTCAACTTGCGAGTATTCAAAATACTGAATATCATTAGGCATGTTCGTTTGTGTTTACTCTATACCTGCTAAACATTTTTTTTTCTATGAATTTCTCTGTTTATATTATGCCATGGAAAGAGATAACTATGGAAAAAGAATCAACTTTAGCAAGTTCAGCAGCACAAAACGAACAGACCTATTATTGAAAGATTTTCTTAGAGTTGCACCGATTGTCACGTGACAAAACGAAACCTGTCCTTATTGAAACAATCTTTGAGTTATTCAATTAAATTCAAATCAACAATTTCTCTCAACTTGCGAGTATTCAAAATACTGAATATCATTAGGCATGTTCATTTGTGTTTACTCTATACCTGCTAAACATTTTTTTTTTCTATGAATTTCTCTGTATATATTGAACTATGAAAAGAGATAACTATGTAAAAAGAATCAACTTTAGCAAGTTCAGCAGCACAAAACGAACAGACCTATTATTGAAAGATTTTCTTAGAGTTGCACCGATTGTCACGTGACAAAACGAAACCTGTCCTTATTGAAACAATCTTTGAGTTATTCAATTAAATTCAAATCAACAGCAATTGTAACATGTTTGATCTATAACAAGGATGACTGTCCTGATGTAGATAGATTATACACAGAAGTATGGATATCAACACACAACCATCAGCAACACGTCTTTCTATATTTCATATTCCTTATTTCATATTTATTTTGATGGTTTACAATAATGTTCGGACCATCTGAAACTAATTTTCTTTCCTAAATTACTGCGAAATGAATTTGTCTCCATCTGGAAGCTCTTTGAACTTCACAACATAATGAATAACACTTCTGGAAGATCAATCCTGATGATAGGGACTAAATAGAATCCATCTCTCTAACCTAACCCGATTGTTATACTCACCATTTGCAAGGGTTGAATATCATGGTTGGTGAATGAGAATGACTCTACAACTCTTGTGACAGTAATTCCTAATTCAATGTTTTACAGTATCAAGAAACAAAATTGATAAAGTTTAGCCGGTAACTAAACTCTCCAAAATTTCTCATATTTTGCAATTTCATTCTATATATTATGGTGCGAAATTATTTCGTTATTAGATATCTCAATTGTCTATGATTTTATGAAAATATGCATGATGAAATGAGTAAAGATGAAATACAAAGATTAACATAATGACAATAATAAAATCGCATTCGAAGCCACATAGGAACTTGACAACTCATGCATTTATAATGAAGGGGTTTCATAGTTACCAGGAACAATTCTATTCCATATCTAGAGTCTAGAGAGGAGCTTATGAATACTGAGTTTTGCTACTATCAAAGAATACGTTGATAACGTTGTCTCTTGTTGTGTGCTCTTCACATATATGGTGATCATGTATCACGAAAAATATTGTTTCTATTCATTATAATTGAAATGCAACATAAATCAATACATATTTTTTGATTGATTTATATTGAGTATCATTATATTCCACCCATGATTGCTGAAACACATTATATACTTATCAACCAGCTGCAACAATATTGATGAATCCTGCCGATTGTGTTTCATCCTGAAATGAACTACATGGAAGAAGATTTCATATCATAACCTAATTGACAGAATATGTTATTCATGAATAATTTGAAGGAATTTTTATTTGTTTTACTAGGCAGCAAAGTAGTTTATTGACATTCAGGAATTCAGCCAGTTCATCTACATTGCTGCCATATGAAACATATAATGTTTTCTCCAAATGTTAAACCAATTTTATGTATTTTTTTATTATTTTATTGCATCATTTTGTGTTCACCCAATGTTAGTGTCAATTTTGATAAGCGATTTCATTCTAATTACTTGGAACGTTGCATGGCAACAAACTTTTCCTGACAAAGCGGAGAAAGTACACCTTTTCAGCCTGTTAAGTGTCAGAGAAAAACTACGTTATATGCCACTTGGAGAAAAATACAATTTTCTTCGAGTTAGGGCCATTCAGCACTTTCGTACTAGCCAGATTTTATTTGTTCATGATGGAAACAGATAAAGCGATGATGAGCATTTTTATCATGTATGGGGAGTATAATATGGAAGATAGTTCAGATGTTCTAACATATAACCAGGAATTGCGGTGAAACGATAGCTGTCCGGATTTACTACAACATGCTACAACGTAATAAGAATGAAAAGCCGATGAAAATGTTACATTTTATCTCAATGTTACATTTTATCTCAATTTGACATGAACAGTACCGTTCTATCGGAGTATTTATTGAAGTATTTGTTAGTTTCTATTTCACATTGATATGAACAATGAAATACTGACTGGTCTAAGTAATTTTGACAACCATCATATTACTATTTTTATACAAAATCCTCATATAGAAGTATGTGCCAGTTTATAGGTACATAGCTACCTTTCAAGAGAATTGGAAATACAAAATTGTATAGCTATCAATTCTTTTCCTTGAGCAGTTGTCAATGAATTCAAATAATTACTTTTTCGTAATCTTTATACGCAGTAACACAGTGATGCATTTTCAGAAATGCGTTAAAAAGTTCTTAGGATAGAAAACCTTTTTTTGTCCTAGTGCCTCGATGTGAGATAATCAATGCAGAATCAGAAGAACTGAAACTGTATTTATAACTATAACTGAGTTTGTTGTTTCAGGTTCGATAAGCAATATTGATGGAGCGGAATTTCACTGCAACAAGACCCAAAAGCGGAAAGTAATATCTGGAGTCGTTGGAGCAGCATCAAGCGTCACGTCTATTCAAGTGGCTAATCTATTACGTCTTTTCAAGATTCCGCAGGTGAATTAATTTTCTTATCATGTATTCAAGCATTCGGAATTATTATAGTCTGAAAGTACGTTGATTTAACGTTTATATAATAATATGCAATTTTGAATGAGTGAAAAATGCGTTACTCGTTGATTTTTCAAAGTTGTCAATTGGGTTATAAGTCCTCTTCCCCCTCTTCTTCTTCTGAACGAAACAAGCTAGCGAGGTAGTGTAAAATTCAGGGAAAAATGAACCTCGTTAACTACTATTTGGCATGAAAATGGTTGTGGTCACGTGACCTAGTGTCAAGTGGGCACGTGACCTAGTGTCAAGTGGGCACGTGACCTAGTGTCAAGTGGGCACCATCAATTTTTTTTCAAGAATAAAGAGGGGTCACATGGTGCCTTATTTTGAAGCCCTTTCGATTCTCTATCCAACACTGCTTCGTTTGTACTAATCGGCCAAGCTGTTTCAAAATGACAAGCGTTTGAAATTTGCTTCAAATATTAAAATTAATTGATATAGGTCTCGGTATATGTGCTCAATGGATTCTTTGGCTTCAACTTATTATTATGATAAAGAATTGTGGAGACTATGAATTATTTGATTCGTGTTGTGTGTAGTCATCAGTTGAAAACTTGTTTCATTTAAATATTCACTCAAAGTTTCTATTCTTATTTGTATAGGTACTGATTTATTCTCCTATACATTTATTATTTTAAGTAAAGCATGCTGTGTTGTTCCTAAAGTAATTGAAATTACGAGAAGAGTTCACTAAGAAGAATAATTAATTAATTTTGCATAAGTTTCTGAAGAATCTCAGAAAGTTTGTTGATTAATCTTATATACCCGTATAAGGCTGAACTTTATGGTGCGATCTTTTATAACTAGACCCTCGTCTTATCAAATCTTTTTTAATTTTCATCATCAACGATTATTAAAAGTTTCGATTTCGTTTTCAAGTTATTATTATTAGGAATTATAGATGACTTTTTTGCCTATATATAGGCAGAAGTACATTCATTTTATTACCCGTACTTTCAGGTGAATCAACTAAGATACCGAGGCAACACATTTTTTCTACAACTGCTATGAAAAAAAGCGTATTTCTTATAGCTTACTTCATTTCGAAATCATTGATTGCTCATACTGTGGGAAATATCATTTCTCACTGCACTTTGCCCATACCATTCATATGGACAATAAACAAAAATCGATAAAAACTTAGTTGGCTGCTGTTCAGCTTTAAATAATTGTCACAAATACTGTCAAACGAATTTTCTTGAATTCTTATAGGAAATTCCATTCGTGCTTTGATGAAAATTGCAATTGTTATCAAATATTATCTCAGTAAGACATACCAAGTTATCGTATACAGGCAATATATCTCGCTTATTTGACAAGATTTTCAGAAAATGAAAAAACTGCTCCTTCCTAGGGATTCATAAAAAATGGACTACATTTGACAGTTCTGTGGTAGCTACTCTTCACTTTTTATTTCCGAATGGCATATCCTGCAGTTCCATTATCGGTTAGGGATTATCATAACGAATTCAACGGTAGTGGGTTTTCTATGGACGCTTGATAGCGTACTGCGTATAATTGTGGCATCATAATACGAAGGACGTAGGTTCAAAGGGTTCAAATCCCACACAACAGAGTCAACTTTTTTTTAATTTAATAATTCCGACGAAGATGATGTGACGTCACTACTTTCCATTTCTGTCTCTTTCTGACTCATTAACATCAAGTTTCTCTCTCTAACACATGGTTTGCCCTATTCCTATAGTCATGCTTTCATAGCTACAGTACTAGGGTTGTTTCGAACGATTACGGAGACATTTGCATCCTGAATTTCTATATGCTCAATGCATGAGTGTAACAGAAAAAGAACTTTCATCACACCCATTGGGCATATGGAAACTTCGAACGCAAATATCTCCGTAATCATTTGAAATAACCCTATCAAACCCGGTATCGTTACTTTCGTCATGATAATCCCCAACAGATTATGGAATTGAGTACAGGGTGTGCCATTTGAAAATCAAAGTGAAGAGTAGCTACTAAAGGGCTGTCGCATGTAATCCATCATTTCATGAATCATCATGAAGGTTTTTTGCTTCCTGATCATCTTGTAAAATAAGCGACATATTGCCAGTATATGACATAAATTGGGACACCCGGAATACCTATTCTTAATAGAGAAAAAAAATGTTGCCTAAACTTTCAAGAAGAGTATGAATTGGCATGTGGAAAAAAATTAGTGGAGAAGATATATACGAAAATAAAATCTTTTCAGAAAAGTGAAAATTTACTGACTAGAAAAAATAACGTTCAGGGTTTGATCATCATACTAAATTGTACGAATTTAACTAAACTAACTATAAATTCAAATACATTATTTTACTAACTAGGAACAAGCCAAATATTTTTTTCTAGTTGACAAAACGCCAGTCGGGCAAATAGCATTAAACCTGAAATGGGATCTCGTTTTGTAGTGTTTCTTTCCTTGCCAGATGGCGTTTGGCGTTCGCGTTCAATTCGCGGACGTTGAACGCCTCGTGGGGTAGAAATACTGAGATGCGTTTCTGTTGGGTCAGGTTCGCCAACAGCTCGAGACCGATCTGCAGGTAGTCCACCACTTAGGCGTAGCTCGGCGTGTAGTAAGAAAACACTTGCGTTTATATTCGCCTATACGAATTATTGCATAGATTTCGGAAAATCCAATGTTCTGTGTGGCAAATATCCAGGAGAGTAGTTGTTTTTCTATGGTTATCTACCATTTTCATTCATTTTATGAACTATGGTGGTGCTGACTGAGTTTCTCCCAGTTTGTGCATTATTTTACTGGTGAGAGATAGGAGACTTTAATGTCATCTCAGTGTCACTATAACCATTAAAATATAGATATCAAAAGTTAAATAACTTGGTATCCTTTGAATTTGTGCAGTTGTAGAATAATTATCATGTGCAACATTTGGGGAGATAGTTATTTGTTTTAGACAGCAAAGTAGTAGATTGACTGCCGCGGCTGATAGTTCATAGCACAGCAACAAACTTTCCCTGCTTAGGCAGAGACACCTTTCCTGCCTATTAAGTGTCATAGAAAAGCCACCTTTTATGCTACTAGCAGAAAAATATACTATATCAATTTCCTTTCGCGTGTGTGAAATATGATAAAAAAACAAAGTGACACTGCTTCCGCAGAAACCGTATCATTGAAGACCCTCATAAGTGACCATGTGACCAATAAATTTCAATTTTGACACTCGAAACCACCTTCCATCGTCATCAGAACTCTCTCAGAACGAGGCGATAAAAATATTAGGTTGCTTTTCTGAAAGCGCACATGGCGACGTATTGTGGGCTCATCGCAATAAAAGAAAGTCGGTCTCTATATATACCGTTTTCCACAGCTGTAAAAGGATTTGAATGATGAAGATTTTACGAGTGCGGGACATTTACATTTTTCTGGGCGTGTGAATTCACACATCGGCGAAAACGGTCTTTGTGTCATTTTTGTGTTCCTTTGTACCTTCAGATGGACTTTAATGAAGAGGAAAAAGGGGCTTATAGAATATTGGAAGGATGGAAATGAATAAAACGAACATAATCGGTCAGTCACAAAAATATTATGATAGAGAGGAAGAACGATAGTTTCGAACTCATCAGACAGAAAATAGTTTTTTTTATGTTCTGGTTCCCACGAAAAGGGATATCCTGTAATGTTCAGGGTTGTTATAATGTACAAGTCTATTGGCACTTGTTGTTTCGACCAAAGTATGTGTACACCTTCTTTTATGAAGTTAATTTTAGGTCAAATTGGAGTAGAATTTTTGGAGGAAAGATGGCTCGAAGTTATCTAAACTATTCTACACAACATTCTCCCTCTTCTTTAATATGTGTAATTTCCAACGATGGCCAACAGATCCGAAAAAATCCGTACTTCAGGTGGAACACCCTATTGCTTTTCGATGGAATATGCTCCGATTTTTTTTTCTTTTTTTTATCGCTTGGAGCGCACGAAAGGAAATTCCTATGAGTAAGGCTTATTAACAGGGCGATTCACGTGTGGGCATGTAAATGCATACATCGGCGAAAACGGTCTTTGTGTATTTTTTGTTTGCTTTTGTACCTTCAGATGTACTGAAATGAAGGGAAAAAAGGCGCGTATAGAACATTGAAAAGATGAAAATAAATAAATCAGTGTGAATACTCAAAAATAAAACGTACAAAATCGGTCAGGTTAGGTTTAATTCTAATAGAGAGGAGGAACTAGTTTCGAACTCATCAGACACAAGATAGGGTTGTAATAATGAATACCCTATCGGCACTTGTTGTTTCAACTGAAGTACGTGTACAACTTCTTGTGTGAAGTAAATTTTAGGTCAAAGTGGAGTGGAATTTTCGGAGGAACGAAGGCTCGAAGTTATCTGAACTATTCTCCGCAACATTTTCTCCCTTTCTATATAATATATATAATTTCCAACAATGGTCAACAGATCCGAAACAATCCGTTCTTCAGGTGTAACACACTCTCGAAAAGGATTCCTGTTTGATGGAATATGCTTAGATTTAAGAGTAAGGGCGATTCACGTAGTACACATATTAGAATGAGTTTCCCAAATTTTGGTTGGATCAAAAACTCTGAAACTGCTATGCTGAGATGATAATTTCCAATTATTCACCTGAAATATTTTAAGCGGCACTGACTGTGCCCAAAGTCGGCACCAACTTTGTTATTTCTAATATAAACCTAAGTACCCTTTTTCACACGGTTCGATTGACCTTCTGATTCTGAGTTAAGATCATCTATCACAGATTCCGAGATATGTCGTTTTTTCTAAAAATAATCACCGCAGTAGTCGTTTACGGAAACATTAATTATGAACGCGGTCAAGTTTCAGATGTCGCATTAAGATATTGCCGAAAATTCAACTTCTTCAATGACGCACATACTATTTTTTCATACCATAATCATAGATTCCATAATATATAGGTATGGAAGAACAATGGAGTTGACGATGAGTTGCGTTTAATTTGCATCTTAGTGTCGATTGTACATTTTTGATCAACAAATCTTTCTTCTTTCGTTTCAGGTCTCATTTTTCTCCACTAGTCCGGAATTGAGCAACAAACAACGTTTCGAATTCTTCTCTAGAACGATACCTTCAGATCATTATCAAGTGAAGGCAATGGTGGACATCGTACGGAAGTTGGGTTGGAGCTATGTGTCAGTCATCTACGAAGAATCTAACTACGGGATAAAGGTGCGATACACCAGTTTTTATCAAATCTCTCAAATCAGTCAGTAGTTGCTCCGAATGAGTATAGTAGTTCAATCAACGAACACTAAAAAAGGCTGAATAGAGGAAAAAAATCGTGTAGTCGCAAATTTTTGTATAGTGGTAAAGGGAAGTGTCATTAACAACATACTAAAAGTCCTGACCCGTAGGGGATGAGCGCGATGGTGGGGGAGTGTTTGAAGGTCATTTTTTCAATCAATACTTGAATAATTCGAAAATCGTGACCTCTAACGAAAAAATATAGGTATACAAAATTAGACTACTTAAAATTTTCTATAAAAAAGTTCCTATTCACTTGTTGTCTACAATGGATAGTTTCTGAGATACAGGGGAAACAAAAATCGAAAAGAGGAGAGGATGGATCGCTCATTCCAGTGACAACCAGAGATCCAATAGCACCTGAAGCGATACTGAACAGCATATTCTGCCGATGTTCTACTGGATGTGGAGGACGATGTGGTTGTCGGAAAGCTGGAATTCCATGCTCCATGGTGTGCGGCATGTGCCATGGTACGTGTACGAACGGTGCACCGTTACTGGATGTGGAAAATGACGATGAAGATGATGATTAATTGTTGATCGTATTCATTCAATTATGTCTGTTCTCAATGAGTAATGTATTTTTTCTGTTAATATTCAAGTTAAACACCAATTCCATACCATTAAACTCTATTTTTGATACTTCTCGATTTTTTCATCCCCTGTATCTCAGAAACTATCCATTGTGGACAACAAGTGAATAAAAACTTTTTTATTGAAAATTTTATTTACTTCAATTTTGTATACCTATATTTTTCCGCTAGAGGTCGCAATTTTCGAATTATTCAAGAATAACTTGAGGAAATGACCTTAGAACGCTCCCCCACCATCGCGCTCATCCCCTACGGGTCAGGACTTTCAGTATGTTGTTCATGGCACTTCCCCCTGCCACTCTGCAAAAATTTGCGACTACACGATTTTTTTCCTCTATTTTTCGTTCGTTTACTGAACTAATAGGCCTTTTTTTAGGGCCAGTACTGACCCTATACAATAGGTTGATTTAGTATTTTAGTCCGTTGCTAACCAACAAACTCGAAGTCAAATCGATTCAGGAAAATTTCTGAGGAGCTTGGCAGTCAAAATCGGTCCCTACTGCGGTTTTTTTAAATGAATTTGAGACAGTGAATGAAAATGTTGATAAACATTTCAGAAAAATTTGATGTGTACTTCGTATCAAAAGACTTCAATGCTGTAGGTCTCGGCTTCTCGCCTTGGCTAACAATTGATATTTTGTCTTCAGGAAATGTTTTGGTTCTACTCTAGATACACAATGGATACAACTTTACACAACTAATAGCCTACGCAGGTAGGAACCTCAAAGAGAGGAATTTTATCGATAGTCAGTGACACCTTCTTTGAAAATTATCTGAAGAATACAGGAATATTATAGGTGGAATGTGAAATCAGTTTTCATTTTCAATGAAAAGAGATAATTCTTATATGATCATTTAGACAAATTTCAGTAACTAAAGTTGTCAGAATAATATGTGTTTATGTTTTTCTGATTACTCATTTATTCATTAATTCTTGATTAAACATGTTTGGGTTGAGATACAAACAGAACAAGTCGGAGAAATAGTGTCTACTATAATTGTGGGTTTGTAAATGTTAGAGATGATACAGTTTCAAGAAGTTCCAATAAAAGAATATAAACAGCAAGATTTATAGATACTATAGATATGATATATTTAGATTTATGGATCTAATTAGTGATATAAACATAAGAAATAATGGGGCAGTTTCCTTCAGTTGAATTTTCATAGAATTAGTTCGGAACTCTCCAGTTCTATGTCCACGCTGTACAGAATGGCTACCGATAAAGTCCAAGTCGTTTTCATCTTCAAATTAAAGCAAGTTATAATTTTCGGGGCGGCAAGCTGTGACGTACATTCTGAATCTAGTCTGAAAATAGCTGATGGTGAAGAATATAGCTAGCGAATAGCTGAGGAATGAAAAACGACTGAAAAAAATAGAAGCAGAAGTGGAACTGGTAAACAAAAACATACATAACCACAGATGCACTCAGAGCAGGAATGCAGAAGGTAGTTGGCTTCATTCTGACAGGTTATGATTATATTATATATGCATTGAAATATCTCGAATAGAGCTCGATCCTGAACGAAAATTTTATTGAATCAATGAATCACTTTTGGCTTCATTCAATGATACTATCCTTCATAATTTACTGCCATCGGTCAGAACAGAATGAAGCCGACACCCATGCCTCCTTCCTCTGACTGACAAATTACGAATAACATATTGTAGTATAACGATAGTGGAAAATAATAGATACTATCGCAAAATATCATAATTCATCTTTATTAGTAATCAACTTCATTCAGTCAATGAGAGATTTATGGGAATTATTCATAATACTTGACAAAGTAGCATTGAAGAACCTATTTTATCCCATTGCTGTTATGATATAGTTATTATGCATTCAAAGAACAATTTCCAGAAATCTAGACATATTGATGATGTTGGTAACGTCGTACTGGCACAGGGGCTTGTATTTTAACTCTGTGTGAATGTGGATTTTCAGGAAGTAAGTCATAGAAATGGTGGTGGAGCCAAGTTCCTCTTTCAATAATTTTCTTCCGAAGTGAATTTTGATCCTACGAAAATAAGAAAAAATACGTATATATTGATTTTTCACAAACTTCACAGTGAGATGAAAACCCCAATGTAGGAAACTCCCAGATTATTAATTGGTTCCTTCAATTCGCACCAAACTGTATATCATGATTAAAACCAAATCACGTATCGTTTCCAGGCTTTCGAAGAACTGGAGGATCTTCTAGCCAAGTTCAATATATGCATAGCCATCAAAGAAAAGTTGGTCAAAGATTCTGGAGTGGCTAGGGAATCAGCGTATGATAGCATCGTGCAGAAACTTTATACCAAACCGAGAGCGAGAGGTGAGTTCAAAAATGACTCGGCAGTTACTATAGACGGAAATCCTTAGTGAATGTGGAAAACTTTACAAACGATAAGACTTTCACAAAATTTTCAGTAACATATGTTTTGCTAACCCAGTAGCATTTTCAAGTGAAATACAGTTATAGCATTCATTAGCTTAATTTCTTAGATTCGACAATAAGTAAAAAATGATAAACATAATTTTTCGATTTTCCATAAAACTCCCCACACTGATATCACGATTCATAATAATTCAACACACCCTTCATATAATAGTATGATACACAGGCTAATGATTGTCCCTCTTTCAGAAGTAAATTCCAATAAAGAACTCAATATCGTTGATTTGATAGACAGTATTCTTTTAAAAAAACTTCATAATGAAGCTATTCGAGAAGTTTATCCTACCATCAAGAGAAATAATCAAAATCATAGAACTTCGAAAAATCAGGGGTGTAAAAACTCGACTGTGGATCTTGTCCTAAGGTATATATCGGTCAGACAGGTCGTACGTTTAATCAACGCATTCATGAACATAAGATGAATTTTTTGAAGAAGAAAACAAATTCAAGATACGACAACCATATATTCGAGGAAAACCATAGTTGTGATGATAATTTCGAAATTCTACACGTAGGAAATAAAGGAGTGAAACTCAATCATTTTGAATCATTAGAAAACAACAAACTCAAAAATTTTTACATTTCACTTAACGATCAATTATACCTCAATAGTTCACCACTGTTGAATTTGTTTTCTTAGTGGGTAATAAAACTCATATTCTATCAACCCTCTCAAGTTAATCCGATACACCGTATTTTAATGTACATATTCAGCCTAATTTCCGGAAATGAACATAATATATTGGGTGTTATCTGAGTATGTAACCAAACCTCAAGGGGTAATTATTTGGGTGATTCTTAGATGAAAAGTATTAATAAAAATGGGTCCAGAAATGCGTTCTCTCCGAGATACATCAGGGAGTCGAAGTTTCAATAAAATAGTACATTGTGTAACGAGCACGGAATGATAGTGATATCTCACGAAAATTAAGTTTGCAGCATGAGCCGTAGGCGGTTTTATAAAAAATTTTTGCTCCGAAAAATTCCAATGGTAGTTTGAGTCCTACATTTTGATTCTCCTCTGGGAGATTTCTTCAAATGGAATTATGGATCTAGTGTGATACCTCTTATAAATTGGGGTCATTTATATTTCCATTATTATAATATATATTTACACTTGGACATTTTTTGTGTATCATAATACACTTGATAAACTTCCAATAAGACCTAGCTTAAAATATGATTTGTTGGTAAACTAGTTGGGATTTTGAGTTCTCAAGGCTGGAATACTCCGAGTTGTGAAAGCTAGTAAAAAGTGGAAGGTAAGGTTTCAGCGAAATTCAGGAGGAGCTTTACAAACAAGAAAGTTTGTTTTGTTGGTTGAATATAAAATAATTTACGGTATATTAATTCTCCAGTAATGAAACCTGAATATTCACAGAGTGTAGAGGACAGAATATCAAGTATCTCGATAGTCTGCTAACTTTGAACCAAAAAAGTGTCTAACACTTGAAAACAATTTTCTTATACATTCTCATACTGATATCACAGAATATCAATTTTGTGTTGATATACAGGGTTTTTGTTTGTTGACTTGAGTAACTAGTCAGACTGCTGGCTGGAAACTACCCTTCACTGATGAGGGACAAGAGTCCGGAACCGGTCTGTAGGTGTCGAACGTTAACCTGACCAAATAGAAATCAATCGGCATTAGGGAAAAAAATTCTTGCATCAGTATTCGTTCATACGAATCAAGGCATAGATTCTGGGTGGATGTAATTTATTGTTTTGCGTGCATAAGCATTAGCCAGGATAGTATATAGTTGAATTTCTCCCGTCATCTACCATTGTTGTTAATTTCATGAACATTTTTGGAAATTACTTCGCGTTTTGTATCTATTTATTTATATATATTTGTCCTCATGCCTTTCATTGAGTAATCTGAAGGTTTTCCGACACAGCGATTTACAGCGATTTACATCAATACATGTAATTTCTATTCTTTCTTGTGGAGATTGAAACATTTTGCAGCATCTCTCAGTTCGTCCCCAATAAACCAGATAACTCTCAATGATATCTGCAATACGTATGGATACAATTTTTTTCTAAACCTGATTGACTTGATTAATGCTTGACTCCGAATTTCATGTGACTCAAGGTAATAGTTGCCATTTGAAATGTCCGATGGTATTTTCCTTCTCCCTCGATATCTGAATCGACCTATTTTCTTTGAAAATCGTAATCAACGCAGACCATCAGATATGCAGGGTGGTGATTCAATAAAATATTTCGTTTATTCAACAGAAACTGTATTTCCAGTCTTTACTTCTTTTCAGCTGATGCAAAACTATTTCGGATTGCTAATCATCAAGTTCGATTTATCCACCTGATATTTCAAACACGAAGAATCAGGCCTCACGTATAATATTTTGAATTCGAGGCAAGCAGACGAGGCGAAATGATCGCCAAAACTAGAGGCGGAAATTTAACTTGATGTAGAATGAACAAAATATTTCATTGATATTACATATTTCGTTGCTCTATTCAAGCAAATGATTCATTCGAAACGAGTCTGTATAAGAAAACTTGTATGTTCTTTCAAAGATATATTCTCATCAAAATGATCATTATTTCATCAAATCAACGAAATGTTCATAGTTGACTCAACATCGACATTATTTTGGATCGACATAATTTGTTTTGGAGAAAACCATATATTTTGTTGATGGAATTGATATTATACTGTTGATTCAATAAGACTACATTCTTGATTTGAACAAGCTGCCTCCATTGAATAATCATGTTTCTGGTCGATTCAACAAAAAATTGCACATTCCAACAAATTTAATTCACGCATAAATAATTTTTTGATGCAACAAATCCTTTTTTTTTTCGTGTGTTATTGGATCTTGGTATAGCCGTGTATTAATCGAATAACATACGTGATTGTGGAGATATGATTCCATTGAAATAAATCATTCTCCATCTAATAACTTTATTTCACCATTAAAATGATCACATAATACATAATCTTTCTTAACAACGCAACGAATAAGCTCTATCTATCCGTAACCTTGAAGACATAACCTAATAATTCTACTATTTCTCTCCTAACCACAGAACACTGGAAAGAACATCACCTACGTCATGTCAACTGTTCATTACAACCTTAACATAATTGTCAATAATTCATGCAACACAAAACTACATTGAACCAAAACAGAGTTGCCGACTCAACCAATTCTCACTACATGATATTGTATAATCTATGGTAAAAGTCCATGGTATCTCAAAGTGGAGTGAATAGATTCATAAACAAGACACACAAAGTCATCTCCACAAATTTATTGACTGAGTAATCAGTATCTGTACATGTTTCGGACTATCAATAGTCCATCATCAGCAGCATATTTTAATTGACAAAAAATTGAAAAAATTAAAAAAAAAAAAAAAACCTTTCTTTGTAGAAAAATTGTCAATTAAAATATGCTGCTGATGATGGACTATTGATAGTCTGAAACATGTACAGATACTGATTACTCAGTCAATAAATTTGTGGAGATGACTTTGTGTGTCTTGTTTATGGACATGATATTGTTCCAGGCTGTATAGTTTTTGGTTCCGATCAAGAAGTCGCTGAATTGATGAAGGCTGTCCGCCGATGCAACGCCACTGGCTACTTCTCCTGGATAGGTTCAGACGGTTGGAGTGCCAGATCGCTGGTATCCGGAGGAAACGAAGAGCAAGTAGAGGGTACTCTATCCGTTCAACCGCAAGCCAAAGAAGTCGAGGGATTCAAGGAGTACTTCTTGTCGCTCAGAGTCGAGAACAATATCAGAAATCCATGGTTTGTTGGTGAGTTATTCTCTATCAACAGTCTAACCAGTCACTCACGCACCAAGCCCTTAGAAGTTGCAAATTTGAGAACTTTAATGCAGTTTCTGCACGATGTTTCCAACCAAGCCATTAGAAGTTGCAAGTTTAAGAACTTTTATGCAGTTTCCGCACGATGTTTCCAAGATTTCCTGATTTTATTCTCAAAATTAACCACTGAGCACTAGGATAGGTTTATCTTTGGATGACCACTGTGTCAGCCAATGTAGTGAGAATTGCTTGAACCTATCATACGAATAATCACAATTTTCAATTGACCGTTACTTGATGATGGAAATCCTTATTAGTAGCTGCAGTAGAGTCCCTGTATGTATTTCACAAATACATACAGGGACTCTAAGTAGTAGTAATAGTAGAAGTATATGGGCTTCATTGGTATGTATGTGCATACCAACTGACCGACCTTACGAGAGGTTCTTCAGCCCATGTGTGTTCTGTGTGGGCACTGTAACTAACTCCATACGCTATCTCAGGAGTAGCACTGTCGATTGGAACGCAACAGCGAATCGTACGGATCCTTGACCGTGGCTACGAAAATTATAGTTTATAACTCATTCTATAAATAAAAATTCTCTGCTCCACCAGGGATTCGAGCAATCTTTCGATGATCTGATTACTAGGCGAGCGCCTCAACTATACAGGGTGTCCGGAAAGGTCATGTTGTGAATGAAAAGGCTGATAGAGTGAGCCTAAATAATGTCAGTTTTTCATATAAAAATTGGGATGGTTGGGATGTATGTTTTTGAAATGCTATTCTCTCTAGAAAGGTACAAGATATCGATTGGAATAAGTTGCAGGGAAAAGATGAAGGAACCAAACGTTGGAAGCAAAATGTCAAATTGTCACCTCTGTCAACAATGCCTCTATCAAATGGAAAAAATCGTCCCATCCTGTATTAAACATGATCACTGAACAGATTGACATTTTTTTCATATGAGGTACTAACATTATTTTGGTTCTCTCTATTAGGACTATCATTTATGATATGACCTCACCATGTATATCGCTATTCTGCCGTCATCCATGAATGTAAAAAAAAATCACGAAAGATAACATTTTCGCAAAATTCTTTATCTCACGACATGATTCGCTAACACAGTAGTTTCTTCAGTTGAAATACTGGCACAATAAAACTGTTTATAATAAACTATTCATAATAAACTGTTCATAATAAACTATTTATAATAAACTATTCATAATAAACTATTTATAATAAACTTTTTATAATAAACTGTTCATAATAAACTGTTCATAAAAAACTGTTCATGATAAACTGTTCATAATAAACTGTTCATAATAAACTGTTCATAATAAACTGTTCATAATAAACTGTTCATAATAAACTGTAGATACCAGTATTTTACCTGAGGAAGAAATGTTAGCGAGATATTTCGTGTGAATAAGAATTCTGTGGAAATCTTATCTTTTGTAAGTTTTTCACATACAATCACAATGAACACGATGTTTCATCTAGAAACCTTCATTTAGTCAACTGCAATACGAACTTCTCATCGTTAGGGTTAGGGGTTTTTGATCATTTCCATCATACACTGAAAGGTATATCAAATAAAAGTAGCAAACCAACAACATTTCGGGAACTTGGAAAAAAATCACAAATAAGAGATAACACCTACAGATATCAGATTACAATTTGTGCTCTCTTTTGGAAGACCTCTCAATTTTATCATCAGGGAGAAGGATATCAATTAATATAAATATTGTTTTTCTGCGCATTCATAGATGTAATCATGGTGGGAATATAATATGGTGTGCTACTTACGTATCTTGAATTCGTCTTTTCTGCACACCATGTATGTAATGTGAGATGTTTTCCAAGTTATATAGTACATAAGTCGTAGAAGTTTTTCCGCAAGCATATTTTTCGGTTCTAACACATCGTGACCAGAACTATTCGGCTCACATATTAATGACTTTTGACTGTTATCAGACATAGTAGATCGAAGGCCTTCTGTATCATTTCCTTATCAATTTATCTTCTCTATATATAAAACTTCGTTCGTGAGCAGTGAAATCAACTACAACATCCTCGCTCTTCCTGTTCGTTTCATACTCGATTTCGTATTAGTCATAATAGATAATATTCCTCTAATAAACAGTCTGAAATCGATTCAACACATGAGGTGTTTGTATTAGATTGTATCTTGGGACGTTCAAACAGCTAACCTGGAATAGATTCCATCCCCAATGTAGTTACATCAAAATGTTTTTCATGTCATGTATAATTTTATTGATTGGGAGTGTTTACATTGATAGTCAATTTGTAAATCTTCATAATATATCGGGAGATTTCTGCTCGTGAAAGCTATTACCTGCTGTAATTGTGATACCATTACTTTCACCGATATCGATACAAAAGGCTTTGTTTTGAACAGCAAAGGCATATTACAAATCATGCGGACCCTAAAGATAATTGACTTTTGTAAATGAACAATTTTTTGAAAAGGAATATTCCCAGATATATTTATGAACACAAAAAAAATTCTCCATTTATTCAACAGAAAACAACTACTTTCCTGGCTATATATGCCACGACGAATATTGAATTACATCTATTAAAGACACACGATACGAATTTAAAAAACAAAATCTTCTGAAGAAGAGAATTCTGGAAGTGGAAGTGGAAGCGATATTCATTTGTCTCACCTTTTAAAATATTCTGGAGGTGCAGAACAAACCCTTCGACTTTTGTATTTGAGAATTTTTCTCATCTTCAATAATAAACCCTGTAGAAGATGTTTAGATATACGGAATGACCCTGTACATGCAGACTATACCGGGTGACACAGGAGACATGTAGCAGCCTGTAGTTTTTTTATTTGAACAGATAAAATTTTGAAATTCACAGGATGTATATAATAAATGGTAGCGCACTTTACGAACTTAACGACAATTTTTTTCAACCACCTGTTTGACCGGAAGTGACCCCAACTTTTTTTTTTAAATGTCACCCTGTACATTTCTTCCGTCTATCTTTTTCGCCTTGGAGTTCTCTATCCAACCAAGTATCACAAAGTGGCATTTATTTCTTAATTCGCTGTTGAATTGCTTTTTATTCAAAAAGAATAAGTTGGCTGTGACATGAATTCGATGATATATCGACACTTGGTAGGCTTTGAAATTTAAAGATTATTAGTAAACCAATATTATTCAAAATGTTTTGATATTCTGATCAATGGCTGCAGGTTGTCAATAGCTTATTTGAGTTAAGATGAGAACCTTCGAAAATAACTCATGATATTGAGGAATCTAAGATAGGAACATATTTTTTCGAATTCAGCTATTCGTACAGAAACTATCTGTCTTTTATTTCCGCCATGTAGGTACCTATCACATGATCTTCCCATTTGGAATAATGAAACTAAAATTGTTCCTCTAATACGATGACCCACAGGGCTATCAGTCTATTTTTCCATAATTTCACTTCACTTAGTAGGTGGTGTACCTACACAAAATGTTTCATCTGTTTGACTGTTAATCGATTGCATCAATAATTTTTCTTCTTCATTTGTGTGTTGATTGAAATTGCATATTATCAATAGAGACGGAAAATGTATTCAAGAAACGAAAAAGTCGATATGTTGTTGATATGCAATTTTAATCAACACACAAATGAAGAAGAAAAATTATTGATGCAATCGATTAACTGTCAAACACATAAAACATTTTGTGTAGGTACACCGCCTAGTAAAATAATTATGAAAAAATAGACTGATAGCCCTGTGGATCATCGTATGAAAGGAACAATCTTAGTTTTATTATTCCAAATGGGAAGATCATGTGATAGGTACATGGCGGAAATAAAAGACAGATAGTTTCTATACGAGTAGCTGAATTCGAAAAAATATGTTCCTATCTTAGATTCATCGATATCATGAATTATTTTCGAAGGTTCTGCAGATATTGATCAGAATATCAAAACATTTTGAATGATACCGGTTTACTAATGATATTTGAATTTCAAAGCCTACCAAGTGTCGATATATCATCGAATTCATGTTACAGCCAACTTATTTTTTTTGAATTAAAAGCAATTCGACAGCGAATTGAGAAAAAAATGCCACTTTGTGATACATGGTTGGATAGAGAATTTCAAGGCGAAAAAGATAGACTGAAGAAATGTTCAGGGTGACATTAAAAAAAAAGTTGGAGTCACTTCCGGTCGAACAGGTGGTTGAAAAAAATTATCGTTGAGTTCGTAAAGTGCGCTACCATTTATTATATACATCCTGTGAATTTCAAAATGTTGTCTCTTCAAATAAAAAAACTACAAGCTGCTACATGTCTCCTGTCACCCGATATTCTTCTTATATTATCTTTATTTTCTAACTCTCATACAATGGTTGCTGTAAACCTGTTTAAGATGTAATGAAATATTATGATTTTTGAAATTACCTCATCAATACTTTCCCTTCACAGAATTTTGGGAACATCATTTCAACTGCAAATACCCTAACAGTCCCAAGACACCTTACAACGTCAAACTGTCTAGATTATGCAATGGGAACGAAACACTCACTCAGAAAAACACTGTATTCGAAGATCAGCTCCAGTTCGTTTCTGATGCAGTGTTGGCATTCGCTTATGCTATACGGTGAGAAAATGATATATTATATAACTAGTGTGGAAAGTGACATATTTCACGCGAGGGATATTTAATAGCACGACGCCACGTAGCGGCGAGTGCGGAAATAAACGAGTGCACACTTTCCAACGAGTTATGTACACTATTTTTCCTACGACCATAAAAATATGATTTTGAAACACAAAACAGAAATACAAATTTCAAACATTCCATTATTTTTAATATAACTTCTATCTCTGTTGAAATCAATTTATGAATATTCGGTGAATAATCTCTTTCCGAAGAATAAAAATTGATAGTGATATAGTTTGGAAATCATATTTTTCATTGAAATCGAAGTTTTCCTCATTGTCGAGAGACCAGAGCCACACCAGTGTCGACTGTAGATAGCAATGACAGCATTGAGGTTATGTCTCGTAGATCAATCAGATTATGACAAAATGACAAATACCGAAACCGGAACAATTATTATTAGTTCTCATGAAGCAAAATTCAGATTCAAACGAAAATGAATGTATGATAATATTCAATGATAATAAGTATTAAAATATGATAATATTATCATCCATACATTATATAGACCAAACAAAGATCACGTGAGCGTGCGGTAATATTGCCACACTGTTCGTTTTCACTTTCGCATTGCTATGGTGATATGAGATACTTTCTGAGCGACAACAAAGTGTGCTATATGCTGTTTTCATAGGTGGTCGTAGGAAAAATTCTGAATTTGTTCAGCAGCTTCATTCAGTTACTAATATTTTCTCAGAGATATGCATCAGGATCGCTGTCAAGGATATCCAGGCCTCTGCGATGCCATGAAACCTACCAATGGTACTGAGCTACTCAGGTATTTACGGAGAGTTGATTTTGAAGGTGAGTTTGACTATTTCTCAATAAAATGATCGATAAGCAATAATTTCTTAATTTGATATGAATTATTAAAAAGTACATGCCAACACGGATAAATGGATGGAATCGCGAATGCTGACTATTCATTATCGGCCAAAACGGCTCACTTGTCCCCATCTCATCTTTTGACTTAATATTTACAGATATTTAAACGGAACAGATACAGGGTGATTAGAATATTGTGAATCTTGAACCACCCTGTATCTGTTCCGATTGAATATCTGTAAATAGTGAATCAAAGTTGAGATAGGGACATGTGAGCCATTTTGACCCATAATGAATAGTTTCGACACAAAAAAATCCTGAAGTCGAAAAATCTAGATTGCTTGTTGTGACATACCTTGTATACTATATCTTAGACCAGCTTCTCTCACTATCGAAATCGAAACCGAAACGAATCCTTTCGAAAGAAACAATGCGAGGGAAACGGCAATTGTGAGACAGGAATCTTTTCTCAGAACTCTTGAAGGAGCGCGCGGTTCTTCCAGCAAATTGAAGCGTAAATCTTCGTGTTCCACTCGACAATGTTATAGAAAAACTTCTTGTGAACATGGAACGGAGATTGTATTGTTTCCGGACTAGGTTTGCGATTACTCTTTGGGTGATTCCAAGGAATTGCAAATAAATCTGCGAGCGGAAATAGTAGGGGAGCTGATGTCAGAAAAACCTACCGATCTGCACAAGTTTTCAACTTCACTCATATCATAGAATTTACCACTATTATTATGTATAAACTAGAGTTCCTAAATGTACCTGACGGGTTCGCCTTTCCAAGTTTCTGACACCATTTTGAATCCCTGTTTTCTAACACAAGGAATTTGTTTTCTATGTTGATCATTTCGACAAATGTCAAATGTAACTAATCTCAGTAACAAGGCTACTAGGTGATTCTTAGCAGTTTCCAGATGAATGATGAATTCGCAAACCAAGTTTTCTTCATTGCGGGAGAAATGAGAAATATAGTCGACGAAAAAATTCTGTAATCAACTTGTTGAAATCAGCTGTTATTGTTCAGATATTAATTACTTATTACCTACCATTCTTGTACAAGTGAAATTGTTCCATATGAAATAAAAGTGTGTTTCATTGGTTGAAATTTATCAGGTTTTACCCCATTCTGAACTTTTGTAATGAAAAAATATTCAATTGAACGTATATATACCTACATATAACAGACTTATTTAATAGGAATAGTATATGTTTTTCATTGGTATATATGTACATACCCACTTGATATCGACCTCAAACGAGGTACCTCAGCCTTATAATTTAATATTTCGAGAAGAAATAATTTGCTAATCAATTTAACGTACCCTTTTACCCACTCGAGGAGACGCTATGCACGCTCATACAAAAATCAAAGGCAGAGAAAGATATATGGATGTACTCTTCCCAGGACTTGTGGAGCAAGGAAGATGCGAGGATCCTTTATCTACGCGAAAATAGTTATTTATTATACAAGGAAAAAAAGTAGTAGATTTTAGCTCCAGGTTGTGTGCTAACCGTGAGCTAAAATCTAATATTTTTCCCGTGTAAAATACACAATTTTTTTCTGTGACAGAAGACAGAATGAATCAATATTGAAAAGATATTATTATTTTGAAAACTGAAAATTATCGACGTGAAATTTTAAGTTTTTACCAGTATAGGGAGACCTGCGTTGTAGGCATCTTTATAATTCTTTTGAAGTAATCAAATATCTGTCAGTCTAATTCTGTGATTTGATTTCGAAAAATTGTGAATTTAGTGGTTGTTTAGTAATATACGTAACCGCGAAGTCGAATGGAAGATAAAAGGACTTGCAGTTCTTTCTCAGAGACGGTATTGAATTTCTGAATTCTTTTCAACAGGACTTCTGGAACATTTTCACTTTGAAAAATCGAGTTATCGCTTCTCGAGATTATTCTATCACACTTTGTATATCAATATTATTATTTCCATCGTACTCTGTATATCTTGATAAATCAAGTACATCAAACTGCAATTCAAGTAACACGAGACTATATTTTTCATCTATATTCAGCGTTACATCAGCATTATAGAAAATGGGCCTAGTCGAAACCACAAAAATCATTTTTATCGTTTCGAGGCACCACTACAGTTTCGGCATTATATGACTTCCCTCCCTTCTTATAAAAACAATATATTCTACCCGAGGTGGTTTCTTGAAAGCGGCTTTTCCAATATACCATCCGAAGGTTTCTGAATATATTCTATCTAATATGAAAACAAATTCCATTTTTCCATCTCGGTATTGAAGTTTCAATCAACTCGGAATCGAAAATGCTAGAAGCGTTATGAAAAGTACCAAGATTTATTTTTTCCCAAGATAAAACTAAAGTGGAAATATAAAACACCTATAAATAGATGATTCCGAAATGACCATTTCGTACAAAAGAGATGAAATCTTGGTAAGACCATAGCTGCATGCTATTCTAGAATTGGAACAAGTTGAAGGTCAGATACCGTTAAGTTCATAGCTGAGTTCTTTGAAGGTTATGTTCAACGCTCAATAGCTGTAAAAATAATGTTTTGTATCTCAATTATCTAATCTCTTTTTCTTAGAGAATACCTATGTTGTTTCTTGCAGGTTTGAGTAGAGATCGATTCCACTTCGATGAAAATGGAGATGGACCAGCACGATACAACATAAAACATTTCAAACAAGTCTCTAAAGGAAAATTTGAATGGATAACGGTTGGTGAATATTTGGAAGGACTACTCCAGCTCAACATGTCCGGTAATTCAATCTTTATTTTCATCATTGTATTTAACAACATTTACATTTTTTTTCTAATGAGTGATATGGAAATTGGGTTATCTCTACCTACTAATTTCTAAATATATATAGTTCGAGAGTTTTCGCGAACGTTGGCTACTTTGTTGTGAAACTCACGATACGGCAAACAACATTTTCATAACCCCCTTCGTTTTTGAAATACAGAATATAAATAAAAAAATGTTGCATTTTGAGACCACCCCTGTATCTCAGCCACATTTCAACTTTCAGATAATAAGAGCTCATTTCGTAAATCTGACTACGCAGCTAGATTCTACGTAACAAAATATATAAGAGACAGTTTTCACTTCACCACTGACTTTCATTAACACTAATGAAAGCTTTCGATCATCCCAGGGCATGAAGTTTCATCACAAATGAATTATTTTTGGCATTTATCTCGAAATCCATTTTTCAAAAAACATATACAAGAGCAGAAAGTGTCAAAATGAATCAGAGCATCGAAATTGATGTCTACCTAAAGAAGTTCAAGCGGGATGAATTGGGAACAACTTCTAAAAGTGCATCATCCTGTGGTTAATCAGACACGCATAATGGCCCCAAATATTGGACTTCTCAAGTATAATATAGGTGAATACGAGATTTCAATTCATCATTTCGAAAATTATAGGAAAAAATCTCAATCGTTGACGTCTTGTATATCGGAAACAAAGCTCCCACTCATTAATGGGCACTTGAGATTTTTCTCTTGAAAATATGTGTTTTTGACGCTGTTGAAGTCTGCTACAAAGAACTGTCTCACCCTGTATACATAACATATAATCTGGAAATGTAATCGAGCTCAAATTTGAATGTGCCAGGAAATTGTCTTCGGTAACCAGTGGTGTAACTTGTAGTACTTGTGTATATGATTTGTATAAAATGAAATCATTCTTATCCGCCTATCAAACACATGCCCACTCATGTTGGAAAATGTTCACCGTCCTCTCATTGGTAACGATCGAAATGTCTCATGCCAGTAATACCAGAATCATGATCCAGGTTCTTTCATTGTAGCTGTTCAATTCAAAATGGGACAACCAATACCTCCAGAATCAGTGTGCAGTTTGCCATGTCTCATCGGTCAAGCAAAAAAGTACGTGGAAGGAGAAAGCTGCTGCTGGCACTGCTTCAATTGCACCCAGTATCAAGTAAGTGATCTCATATTTTCACTTACCTACCTACTTGAAATCTTATGCCCACATTACTATTAGGCATTCTTCTGCATAGCATCTCTCTTTTTCAATATCTTTTTTCATGTGTTAATTCCGATTTACTCAACGCCTTTAGGTTCCTCTGACACACATACAAACGAATATTCATTTCAAGAATTAATCTGATTGATTATCAATATTTTGTAATTCACAATGAATATTCTTGAACAGGATCAATTGCTTTCCTGAAAAATTATTGATTCAGCAAGCATTATCATACATTTTGATTCAATTCACATAATCCTAGATTTTTTTAACTGAAAAATTTAAGAGAAAAACAATCTTGAATGGGCCAAATCTCTTCACAATTCACCCCGTCATTGCGTTTCTTCGCAGATTGAAACGATGATAGACTCGTCAACAGGGGACCTTAAACGTTATAGAGAAGTTGCGCTCATTTTTGTGAAGATTGGCAATTCTCTGGACCTAATTCTCCATTTTCAGGTTCTTCTCTGTCATTAATTTTTCAGCCTATTTTTCCTTTCTGGCTATTGTTGATCTCAGATATTTGAAGATCTTATTTGGATTTAGGCCAGTTGATCAACTGTACGTTCTATAATTTATGATTGGTTATATTTTTAAGCCAAATATCCCTCTAGAAATCTCAACAGAAAAAGCTTGAAGGCATTGAATAACCTCAACGAGCCTCAAAGCAATCAATTGACTGGATATTGTAGACTCAATGACTCAATCAAAATAATCTGAAATCGTATTAGCTAATTGACATAGATCATAGACCGTTGGATCTCGATCTCGACAAAGGTATAGAATAAAATAGATCTGAACATATTGCTACGTCTGCTAACACACCAAATACTGATATTCTGACAAATATGTTAGAATATTCTCGAGGTGAACACAAGGTACTCTGAAAGAAAGTTGTATGAGCCAATTCTGTGGCGTCATCCCTACAAACAACTTATTGAAGTTTATGATAAGGTTCTCGTGGTAATGACTTGTTTTCTCTATGGAAGTGCAGGTTCAATGGATTGAATATCTCTTGCTTTTGAAAAGATCATCTATGACGTTTCGGAACTGTAAGGTTGAATTAAATTGGTATATAGGTCGTTGAAACATTGAATACTGATGATACCCTCCGGACAATTACTTTCGCCATCATCCCCCTTCCCCCATCATCCCTTCCGTTTCCGTATTGAAACCGAACTGATCGATATGGGAGGCCTTTGTTTATCTTTCCCAAGCAAAATACTGTCGTACACACCATGTAACTGGTGAACGTGTCTACAAACGGATGTTTTCCATTCAGTAATTTTCATTTCGACCCAAAGGGTGCGGGAAATGCAAACATTATTGCTATTGTTGCTTTGTGTTCGTGGTTTCAATACAGAAACTGTGATTAACAAAAAGCACGGAATGTCAACCAACGAATCTGATGAATTCGATACGGGGGTATCACAAACTGTGAATAACTTCAATCGAAAGATTTACCAAATTGTACACGTGGAATTATCATTGAAACGAAGCAGGTCATGGCTGCCACTTTTCTACTATATTCTCTTGATAACATTTGGCGTGTTATTGGAATTGTTTACTCCATTTGAATAGTCAACGTGGTCCGATCTAATCAGGTAAAAACATTCCGACATTCAAGTGAATGAAAAACATTCACGACAAACACAGCGTTCTCATAAATTGTTGAACATTAAATTCACTTACATCCTCATAGAATTCATATCACTCATTTCGAAGAAACTGCGAAATCGAGGAAGATAATGAAGATATTGGCCTTCAATTTATATGGTATGGACTCGCCACCTTGGGAATTCTTATGTTATCTGAGTCTGTATATTCTTGTCTATCACAAATTCGTTTTGGAGATATTGTCGTCATTAACAATTTTGATTTGATCGATCGTTCATGTGATAAATATTACCAGTAGGTGATACCGGAGCATAGCTTTTCCCTACCCATCCACCTACGTTCGGGCGTAGCATAGAAAGATAATGAGAAAAGGGGCGTGGTCTCAGAAAGCGATAGTATGCTTGGAATGGTCGAGGGGCATGACTTAATTCCGATAGTGGGAGAACAGGACTGAATTGGTTGAAAATATGACATAGAAGACGAAGGATAGACTGTTGAAGGAAATGCTCATGAAGCAGTCAGATCATAAAGGGCGATAATCTATCTGTCTTGGATGAGAGGCGAGGGATTGGTTCTCATCAAACAATCAATCGACATTTACTTTATTGTCGAAAGATAAATCTTATTGACGGAGCCATCACCTAAATTCACATACCTTTAATACTTATAAACGTTACAAGTACGATACGTAGCAAATAACGAATGAGCTCGAATATTGTAATTCGAGGCGCAGCCGAGGATTATAACAACCGAATATGTTATTTCTGTATCAGCCGGGTGTCGTTCAAGACCTTTCGTAATTCGTTCAAAGATCACATTGTGATTTCGAGGAAAGAACATCCTACTTTTTTTAATTCATGAATTATGGGACACATTGTGTAGGTATACACATTTACACGAGCTTCCGTGCGTGACGCGAGTTAGGCCGTTTCACTGCCATCCCAGAAAGTGCCTAACGGGCCTATCAAAAATTCTTGAACATTTCAAAGTGCCTCCTGAACAAGAATTTGATTTGCAGATTTTCTCGATTGATTTGGGGGAAGATGTTCTTGAGCCTAATCGGAAGATGGTTATACAATTTGGGAACAAAATAAATCACTGCATTTTCAATCAGTTTTCTGTTGGGATAGGCAGTCTCAAGTTGTTATTCTGGTGAGTGTGACTGTCAACTATCTCATGATGGTTTGATGATTCATTTTCATGGAATAGACACACAGTGTCTAGGGCATGATGATGTGAAGGATTTGAAGTAATTCTGGAGTAGGAAAGCGTTGATTTTCATCCCATCTCTTGAATAGCACCTTGGAATTTCCCCACCGGGATATAATAATAATAATAATAATAATAGTATGCTTTATTGTCTGAAGAAGAATCTTTTTAACAAAGCTAGGTCAGATAATATTGTGAAAAAACGTAAAATATAACGACATAAAAATATGAGATAATATAGTCAAAATGAATACCACATTGAAATACTAAAATTTCACAACTCAAACGTATCATTATAATATTCGTGCAAACTGTAATGGGTCTATCAGAGAGGAACTTTTTGACTTTCTTCCTGAACTGACAGTCATCCAGACTTGCTGACCTTATATCAACTGGCAAGTGGTTGTACAATTTCCCACCATTATAGCATATGGAATCTTGAATAGACTCTCTTGTGGGTAGAGGAAGTTTCGAACTGAAATTTCTGTTGCGCGTGTTATGATGGATAAGAGTTGTCGTGAATTTCAACTTGTGCTTATTTATCCGGCAGACAGATTCCAGAATGAATAGTGCAATCACTGTCGATATTTTATAATTGGAGAATGAAATTCTGCAAGAATCTCGCGGTTTGACATAACATAACTACTTTGTCGCTCGTTTCTGTAGATTAAACAGAGTTTTGAAGACGTTGGGCTGCACACTCCCCAAAAAGGTATTCCATATCGTAATTGGGAATCTATTAGTGGATTTAGTGGATAATATATCATCTTGGCAGTGAAAAATCCTTATTACCTAGAAATGGAGGACTATCAATACTGAAATCAATGATTGTGAATCTAAAATACTATATATAAACAAAGGAGTTCCCCAAGGATCAGTGTTGGGTCCAATTCTGTATCTTTTATACATTCAAAACATTTCAAAAATAAATTGAATAGGAAACTAAGCCATACATGCAGATGACACAGTTCTCTTATTTGAAAACAAAAACTCTGTGATTTTAGAAAACAACATAAATGAGGATTTGAAAAAAAATTAAGAATGACTATACTTCAATCTTCTTTCCCTGAATTCTAATGAGACCCAATATATAATTTTCCATCAAAGAAATGAACAAAATATTGATTTGAATATTAGAATGAAAAATGAAAGATTGAAACGAACTGCCTATACCTATATATTGATGAAAAGTTAACATGGGACAAGCATATTGGCCTGCTCAGAGAAAAAAATATTCCCCCATAGTTGGTGCCTTAAGAAGATGTCCAAAACTTTTCCCAAATATAGCAAATACTGTTATATACTCTCACATCCTTACTAAAATGTAATCTCATAAATATTCGGGGTTCATGGTTCAAGAATAATTTCAACGAAATATCTGTACTATATAAAAAAGCATTGAATTTACTGAATCGTCTTCCATATCCCAATCGCATCAACTTTATGAAGAAACAAATACGTTTTCTTTGGAAGAGCACTATCTGATAAATACTCTCAGAATTTCTTTTGATATTATCAACAAACACCGCGAATCTAACTCCATATTGGGAAGGAAATCTCGAATCCATGAACATATCATACTTAACAATATGACTTGTTTCATCTTGATGCTGCTAATTCTACACTTAATAAAGTTCACTCACGGAGCTATCTCAAAATTCAATAAATTACCTGATGATATCAAGAGTTGCACAAGTATCACCCAATCCAAAATTAAAGTCAAGAAACATATTCTCTTGCAAGGAGAAAATCAAACCTGAGTGAATGATTTCTCATTCACTAATTTATTTCATCATGTCATGAGCTTCTCGTTTTATTCTGTTTTTTTTATTCTGTTGTTTATTTCAATAACTTTAATTTGATTTGATAACGCATGAATAATCTCATACCAGATATGAATCTGTCTGATTATTCATGTTATTCCATTGTAAATGTCAATGATTATATTTATATTTATATAAGATGCAATGTGATGTTTATAGCAAAGAATGAAATAAATAAATAAAAAAAATATTATTATCCACAAAAGTTAGCTTCCTCATCTGTTCTGATTTTCAGATTCGTCATCCGACAGACCCAACACAATGCGAAAAATGTCCTCAGGGTACTATTCCCGATAAACACCACATCGAATGCATCGACATACCAGAAGAATACCTCCAACCAGACAGCGGGTGGGCCATTGGAGCCATGGCTCTCAGTTCCAGCGGCATCTTCGTCACTAATTTCGTCCTAGGCGTTTTCATCAAGTACAACGAGACACCAGTGGTGAGAGCGTCTGGCAGGGAACTCAGCTATGTGCTTCTCAGTGGGATTCTGATGTGCTATAGCATGACTTTCGCGTTGATGTTGAAGCCCAGCGACGTATTTTGTGGCATTCAAAGGTATGCATAGTTCATAGAGAACCCCACGGAAGAAATGTGATACTTTTACACCGAGAGAAATATCTATTAGCTGTTATACTAAACTGTTCAACCTTCAAGATATATTTATTTGAAGATCAATCAACTAGAATATGTCATATACCTTTTGGCATTCTGATGTTTGCAGATTTGGCGCTGGCTTCTGTTTCACCGTCGTGTATGCAGCACTATTCACCAAAACGAATCGGATCTCAAGAATTTTTGACGCCAGCAAACACACTGCGAAACGCCCAAACTTCATTTCGCCACGTTCTCAACTTGCTATATGCACAGGACTCGTTGGAATTCAGGTAAATAAATAATATGCTAGTTTCGTTTCATTCCAGGAACATCTTGATATTTTGAGGTATCCTAACACAATCTAGTTCACAAATGCAAACCAAACCATTTTCCACGATATCTATTTTGAAAATATCAAACTCAGGTATGACATAGTATGACGTAGGTAGCGATTCATCCACCAATCGAAACGCATTTTCTATACTTATCTATATGTATCAATGAAGAAGAGAATGTAATGCAATAACTGAAATAAATAAATAAAATAAATAATCTCTGATCCATGAATTCATTGTAGGCGTGATTATTGATGATTTGGCATATGATCATCCAATTTTTATTTTTTTCTGTGACAAGAAAAATGTTTGAAATTTCATCTTTGTTGACAGGTTATAAAATGTCCATGTACATTTTTCCCACTGTTAATGGCTATAATTATGCTATAGTTCCGATGAATAAGCCAACAACACGGTCTCCGAGATCAAATTACAGAATAAGACTGACAGATATTTGATTACTTCAAAAGAATGATAAAGATGCATGCAACGCAGGTGTCATTCCTGTCAAAAACTTATTCTCATGGACAGAAAAAAAGTTTGGAATTTCATCTTTATCAACAGGTTATAACATAAAATTACTCATTTTCCACATATTGACATCAGACAATTATCGACGTGGAATTTGAAGATTTTGACAGGAATGACACCTGTGTGCAGGTATCTTTTTGCCGACATCTTTATCATTCTTTTGAAGTGATCAAATATCTGTCAGTCTTATTCTGTAATTTGATCTCGGAGACGGTGTTGGTTCGCTTATTTTTCGGAACTATAGCACAACAACAGCCATCATCAACATTGGAAAAAATGTATTCAGTCTTTCTCAATATTGATTGGTCCCATTTCCTGTCACAGAAAAAAATAGTGTATCATACACGGGAAAAATAATAAACTGCTCCACATTTGAAGTGAGATAAGCAAAAACTTCTATCATTTTCGAACCGTCATAACATTGGAGTGGATCAACCAATTTTCAATTCCTTTCGAGATTCTGATGGTTCATTCTATTGGGTACAACGTCAGTATTTTTTGTTATTCCACCTTTCCGACATGAAGACCAACTGGGCGATATCTGAAAATGTGATAATTTTCGAAAAGTTTGGGATCACCCCGTTTCACCGGGAATTTTTTTTATGTTTTATTGAGGGCGATGAAATGACGAACAATGAGTTTTCTCGAAATGGTTTTGAATTCAAGAGGATTCATACAGGATGTTTGAATGTAAGGAATTTTTTACAACATATTGCATTCTGATATGTTCAACCACCATAAAATCAACTTCAACAGAATTTTACATTGGCATATCTTCAACGTCATTACTACACAATGTGTTGTACATTTTCGAAAATAGTGGATGTAGAAATAAATTGAAATATTACGAAAAAAATGCCGTTAACAATAATTATTAACACAATATTTATAATGAAAAAATGATGAGTATATAAAATTGACATGGGGTGGTATCATGATGAATCGTTGCCCCACGTTGGTTATTTTGAGAGAGAGTATGAATACTCTTCGGTATCAATAAGACATTCATTGTGTTAGGGAAGGTGTCGTTCCAGTTGCCCAAAACTTATGGTGACAATTTCATACTGGTTGATGATAATGATAATGAACTACCACATCGTGCGAGACTTGTCACTGGAGTTTGAAGACAACATAATATTGCTTACTTTTTCTCTGTCACACGTCTTATGGGGCATATGGAAATTTCGAACGAGAATATCTTCGTTATCGTTTGAAATAACTCTCTCAAACCCAGTATTGTTGAATTCGTTATGATAATCCCTAACCACATATGGAATGAAATACAGGATGTCCCATTTGAAAATTGAAAGATGGGCTCGTTTCTGGTCAAATCGGGAAGTGATGGGAGAGTATGAAATTTTGAAAAATTGACCAATTCTCGAATTCTACACCCCTGCCAAATTCGAATCTCATACCTCTGGAAATTTGGAAACCATGATTTGTCTGAAAAATTTGATGATACCTGGTATGTTTGAAAATGTATAACACATTTTATAGTGATAGCGTTGAGCAGGATAAGCTAATCAAAGTTCTGTTGAAGTTGAGTTTAGTTGGTTGAACATCAGAATGCAAAATATTGTGAAAAATTCCATGTATCACAACTTCCTGCATGGATCTTCCTGAATTGAGAAGCATTTCGAGAAAACTCATTATGTTTCATCTTATCGCCCTCAATGAAACATAATAAAAATCCCTGCCAAACGGAGCGATCTCAAACTTGCCGAAAATTGCAATATACTGTGAAAAATTCCATACATCGAAACATCCTGTATGAATCCTCTTGAATCCAAAACCATTTCGGGAAAACTCATTGTCCTTCATTTTATCGCCCTCGATGAAACTTAAAAAAAATTCCCGGTGAAACGGGGTGATCCTAAACTTTTCGAGAATTATCACATTTTCAGATATCACCCTGTAGGTCTTCATGTCGAAAAGGTGGAATAACAAAACAGTACTGACGGTTTACTCAATGGAATGAGCTATCAGAATCTTGGAAGAAATTGAAAATTGGTTGATCCAATCCAAAGTTATGACGGTTTGAAAATGATAGAAATTTTTGCTTGTCTCACTTCAAATGTGGGGCAGTTTAGATTCTAGCTCACGGTTTTTTGCCTCCCTCCGCTACACGTCGGAGACAAAACAACCTGAAGCTGAAATCTACTACTTTTTTCACTTTCATAATGAAAAATTATTTCAACGCCTCAACACACGTCTTCCTCGCTATGCTATAACATAATTATACCTTGAGTGTAGAGATGTTGCAAAACGGGTTAGTAAGTGGTGTAGTGTAATAATTATTGGGTCAAGGGTTCCAGTATGGTTCCAGTGGTCGGTAAGGTATAGAAGTAACACTCGTATAGGTAGAGCTATGTTAGAGATTTTTGGTTTTTCATGTTACAAAACTTTTCGTAGCTCACTGATGGCACTTAGGTGGCGTATGGAGTCATTAACCTTGGTGCTGATTTTAATTTCGAAAATGTTAAACCAATGTCGACATACTGTTATTATACAGGAAGCCCGTTTTTCGAGGTCCACCATGAGGATATCAGTTATTATGAGAGATACGAGGTCGGTTAAATTAGGGCAAAATTGCTCATTTTCATTATCTGCAAGGAAATTTGATGTGTCGATTTAGATTTTGCATTATTGAAAGAAAACGGAAATTTATAATTTTCGTTTTTATTTTTTCAAGCGGAAACCAAAAGGCCTAGACGTTTCTGACTAGAATATTCTTGATGCAATTGCAAATGGAAGGAACATTTCAAAATCATATTCAATTTGGACATTCGACTGAGTGGTACAACTACACATTTTTTTATATTGATATATTGATATAACGAACAAATTTCTTAATCACGGAATATGAATCATGACATTTTTCTTTTCCTATTCGTTCCAGCATGAAATTATATTTTGTGAAACTGCAATTCTCGGAAAATATTCAACTTAACTGTATTCCGTCAGGCTTTCGAATAGTTGCCGTATAAAATTTTCATCAAGTTATAGCTGAATTAAACTCAGAATTCCTTATAAAGGCGAACAACTTCTAAATATTCATTCTCACTTTCAGTCTAAATGGTTCGGCACTACCTATTCAGTTTCTGGAATTCCATCATTGTTAGAATATCTAACTCTGGTAACAATAAACCTCAATCCCAGTCTCGAGCAATGCAAAGTTGGGAAAGTTATTCAAATACTGGTATACACATGATAATGGTCCACAATAATACAGGGTGTTTTAGAATTAAATGTACATACGATACCTGTAGATACATTTGATGGTTTCAAATCATCACCCAATGATGTGTCTGCCATCTTCAATTACGGAGAGACAGGAAGTTCTCTTGATTTCCAGCAGAATATAATCTTTCAATCACTTTGTTTAATCCATTCGAACTTGGTAGAAATATCCCACTAGTATTACCCATCGTGAAATGAATGAATGAGCAGAATATATAATATATTCCAAAATATAATAATCGTGAAAAGTAGGTCATTTCATTCATTCTTTTCCGCTTTTTGCAAATATCATAACAGATCTATGAAATTTTGCCATACAAAGTGTTCAATTTGAAATAAAAGAAAATTTCTGTTTTTCCTAAAGATTGCCTTGGATTCTGATCTTGATTTCAATTCAGTTTTGATAGGTAATATGAGTAGAATATTACTACCAAGTTTAAAAAGATTATGCAATTTTGTTGAAGAATTATGACCAGATGAATATTCTTCAAAAATCAAGAAAAAGTCCAGTATATCAGTTATAAAAGACGGCAGACACATCAATGGGGAGTGATTTAGAACCATCAAAGTGTCTTCAATCTGCAGGTATCGTAGTTGTAGTCAGAGATTATTTGAATTGCACTTGTCTCGTTCTAGAAACCATATAGTATTTATATTTCGGATAAGGAATGGATAAAGGAAAGAGCATATTCTGTCCTACAATGTCCTACATCATCAAAGAGAGTTCTTTGGGAAGTGGCAATAACAATTTATGTTCTAAAAACACACAAAAGCAATTTTTTTCTAAATCTGTGTATGTCTGTGTTTTTCCTTTATTTGCTCAATGAGAAATTCAAAAAATCTTAAAGCAAAGCGTTTTAAAAAAACATGGGAAATATAATCTTGAGAATAAAAAAACTTCCTGAAAGAATTAGAATATTCACTAAAGCGATATGTTGTTATCTAAATCCTATTTTGTTATACAAATAAACAAATACACAAATATGCTCCGTTACGAACATCAGAGAAAAAAAAAATCAATAGCCCAAAAATCGGATTTGTGAACCGAAATAATTGTGAAAAACTATTCGAATCCTTTGTAATCAAATGAGAATGTTTCAGATACTGTTCGATATATGAAATTCTGCTCTCTAACACTAGTTCTATCTGTTATACAATGACATGAAGAAAAATGTATCCAAATGAATGAAAATGTAACTCCATTTCCTACTTTTCTCTGCTTTGATTGATTTTCCAAAAATAAGCCAGCAGCACCAGAGTTTTCTATATTTAATTCGGAGCCATTGAATCGTTAGATCAGTCTTCCAGAAGAAATAACGTTAACATATCCTGCGGCAACATCCATACACTCCTACACATAACCGACGCAACCTACGCACAATCACATATTGATGATAACAAGAAGAGTTGTTCCATTATATAGAGCATTAAAGGGTTAGTGATTCCTGATCTGATTACTCCACATCAGTTGGCAACAAACAATAACTTAGTAGATTCACGCGGTGTGTGAGGTATAACAATTAATTTACACCGCTTTAGGTAATTATCTGAATATTTGGCTCTGAATAGTGTAAAATTGACATCGGCATATTGGTTAAATATCGAATCTAATAGAATAGTAAAATTATCATAGCAAGTTTTTTCAATAGGAAACCTGAGAGGAATAATAATATGGTCTGATTGAAGAATCCATAACATTATAATCAATATTTCCATTAAGTTTTTGAGAAGTCGACATGTTTCGCTAACACTGTAGCTTCTTCAAGTGGAATACTAAAATAGATTGACGCGACATTGATTCGATCAACTCATATTCAGAATGTCTGAGGAAATTTGGCAACAAATGGAAAACTTTTTCATTATCAATTTAAGAAAACAAAGTAATTCGAATGTCAGATACCAACTTCTTTCAGTATTATAGGAGATATATGGCAAAACATATGATTTTTGTTCAAGAATAATAAATATTGAAACCTGATTTTCATCGTAGGTAGATGTAATGAGATATTTGAACGTAATTTTCAATTATAGTTAACTTCTATCCTGAATAATTTTCGATATTGTCGAAAAAAAAAAGGTACTTACACTCACTTTATTCATGAGCAAATCAATATTTTTCGACGTACCTCGTATACGACTGAAACAAATTGATATCTGCTATTTGCATTCTCTGTCTCAGGTATTGCAGAACTTTTTATTAAGAATGACTTTTTTCCTGAAAATGACAATAAAGCAGTTTTCCATTTGTTGCCACCTTTTTCAGACATACTGTATACTTGGGAGCCTAAAGAACCAGGTTTACCTGCCAGAAGTCTGACTAATCCTACATTTCTGAAAATAGTTTACATTTCTATATATTGTGCACACTATTCGAAATAAAGAATTAGCTAGCTTGCTCACAGTAATTTTAATACTGTGGGCTCACATAAGTATATTAAAGTAAGACAAGTCAATGTAAGATTAATTTATTAACCAGACACCTGAATAGGAAATGAGGCAAGTTGAAAAGATTTTTCCCAATTGTTAGCAAGAGAGCATTGCGAACATTGCAATTCGCCATTCACTGTAGACATTTTGTGATGAAGAGAAAACGAAAGGTCTTTCGCACAACATCTTATTTTCAGGTATTGATCAATGGTGTTTGGATGATTATCTCCCCACCAAGGGCGATTCACCACTATCCTACGCGAGAAGATAATTTGCTGGTTTGTTCTTCATACATCGATGCTTCTTATATGATAGCATTCACCTATCCGATATTCCTCATAGTCGTTTGCACCGTATATGCCGTGCTAACGAGAAAGATTCCAGAAGCTTTCAATGAGTCAAAGCATATCGGTGAGTAGGTACCTATCTCTGATCATTCTGTTATAACCATCTCCTACCATTGATGAAATAAACCTCTGGTGTAAGTATTTCAATCCTTCCCTGTTTTACAAATCCTTGATTTTCGCCTACTTCGACACATTTTTTACTTTTGTGTCTTTTGGATTTCCTGATTCGAAAATTAACAAAACCGGGAGGAGAATTATTATTAGTACCTGCACCATATTATTTTTTCAGGTTTTACAATGTATACGACTTGTGTTATCTGGCTGGCATTCGTCCCGCTATATTTCGGAACAGCAAACAATGTAGCTTTGAGGATTACCAGCATGTCTGTAACCATAAGCTTATCAGCCAGTGTAACAGTTGCCTGTCTTTTCTCGCCTAAGGTGAGTTTCATAGATGTCATTACTCACTCACTATCGAGTTAACCATGAAAACAAAGACATCCGTTCATTTTGACTGACAATAATAATGATAATAATAATAATACGTCTTTATTCATCATTTGCAGAACAACAATAAACAAAATAACAAAATATTTTACACAATCAGACTCAAACTGCAATGACGAAAAGGCGAAGTATCAGCATGAAGCTGATTTTCAACTCAACCCGAGAGAAATGAACTAAAGAAAACAATAAATTTTTTGATAGATATAGCGAAATGAACAATAAGCAAGAAGTAATGTAGCTCGTTAGATGTACAGAAGAAAATCAAGATGACATCGCCAGATTTCCTAACTAACAGTAGAAATAATAAGCTTCAATCTTTTCTTGAAGTTACTGAGAGTGTAAGATCTAAATTCCCTGGGCAGTGTATTATAACATCTACTAGCGTTATATGAAAAACTACGTTTGAACATTGTGGTTTTGTGTTTTGGAATGACAAGTGTAGATCTATTGCGACTGGATGATTGATTATTGATTTGTGAAAAAGTTTTCAGTCGTTTGTGAAAGTATTCAGCTTTACCTGTGGTCAAGACTTTATGCACTTGAGTCAGCAGATGTAGATGTCTCAATTGTTCTAATCTCAACCAACCTGAAGCGACCATTGTAGCTGATATGTGGTCAAAATCGTACGCAGGAATTTTGAATACGTTGATAATGTGCGATGTTACAAGATTCATAATCATTTGATGACGTGGCACTTCACCATGGAGAAAAGTTACTCAACTTGCAACTTGAGTCGCCTTAATGAGTAAGGTCGAATGGTTCAATCTTTTTTGATGGGAGACCCAGTATAAAATATTCTTCAATGAAAAGATACTCGATACTGAACAAGAACCGCCAATTTCGAGATCTTGCCAAATTCGAGATATCGCGAGATTAGCAGTTCTGTGTGTTTATTCTTTCAAATAATCACAAAATCTGGATAAATTAGGACAAGAATAACAAGAATCATAGGTTTCATGATATAAACATTTATTTTTACGTTTTTACGAATGTTTCCAATAAACTTTTATGTATTCAACATTTAACATTGTTAGAGGTATCTGATCAAATGAATGAATGTGCATGAATGTTTATCGCAGAAATTGTACATCTTACATCGCTTACATTTCAGTACTCAATGCTAATGCATTATGAAAACTTAGTTTGTAATATGTATGGCACATTGTACAAATAAACATGAGAGGTAGCAATCACCATTTCCGAGATAAATAGATCATAAAAGTCTTCTGTGTAATAAAAAAATAGTACTCTTTGTTAATAGGGTACTTACCAAATTAATCTTCAATTCATTCTGTTTACTGCACGCTACATATTTCGAATCAGATATAAAGAGTAGATGTTTAAAGAAGGGGTATTTTGAACAGATACGAAATTTTTGGGAAAATTCGGTACCCTATTAAGGAAAGAGCACTATTTTTATTACGGAGCAGAATTTTGAATTCGATTCTCCTCAAAAACGGTGAATGCTATCGAAATCAAACCGAAGTATCATTTTTGGGTACACATGTTCCATATTTCCTGGTCAAACAATCGGAAATTGCATAAACAATAAAGTTAGGAGGAGGAGTCTCCTAGCCCCACCAATTTTCCACGCCTCTGATGAAAATCAATTGATCAATCAATCAATCAATCAAAAACATGTTTATTATACTTTCCGAAACACATCAATATTGACCTTCGCAGTTATACATCATCTTGATACGGCCGGAGAGAAACATCAGGCAGAGCATGATGCCGATGAGATGCAGCGCAATCAACAAAAACTCAACCAATACAGGAACCGGAAGTATGATGGCAGCTGTCATGGTGACTGCTGCCACTTGTGATCAGAAACAGAACGTAGATAAACATGTTTCGCCGATAGAAGAAGGAGAAAACGGTGAATAAACAATTGTTCTATTACTGCATGATTATAGTGTAGGCAACCAAACCTACACCGCGTCAGTTCACTGTTGACACTATAACCTACGGAATCTGTATTCATACAAAAAATATGGGCTTCATCTTTTTGCTTTGCTCGCACGTTAAAATATCTTGATCTTCAATTGCCCTCATTGATGCACCAGTTGGTTAAATAACTATTTCCGTCGATCTCGTGTTGAGGAATGACCCCTTTTAATGATCAATTTCAACAAAATCGAACAGAGAATTCGAAAACTTTGGAATTATTGAAATTTCTTCAGTTGCGGCGATAACATGGAAGACAGAGTTACAACATCTCCATGCGTGGTGCGTCACTATGAAATCACTGAAGTTTGAATCGACCTCATGTTTCCTTGTATAAATCAAATTGAATTGATGAATTCCCTTAGGTAGATATTATATTCATAACTGCAGAGTCGAATTTCCATCTTTTATCGAAGGAATTTCCTATGTATCTGTCGGAATGCATTGTATAGGTTCATCAGTCTCACAAATTTGGCCAAATAGTTCTGCAATAACAAATGAGTAATAGAAAACTATTGGGGTTGATTACGTGTTTACAATCATGTATTCTCGGAAGAATATTATGAAATTTCATCCATAATCTTATTCAGGTGGAACACATTGGTCTTTATTTTATAGATATATTCCATCAGAAGAATGATGCCAAGAAAGACAACAGTACACAAACTCCAGATACGTCGAATGAGGTTTTGAATGATACTTGCAAAATCAACAATAACCATAATATCGGAAATGGACCCACAAACTTTTCACAGTCTGCTATATTCAAAGATCGAACGTTATAGCAATCGAACAGTCTGTCTTTCACCATGCTCAGAAAACCTATTCAAGTGTAGAGATATATTTTGTACATATCAATGAATTAAAAATATCAAGTATTCAATGTATTCGTGAAGAATTATGTTAAGTGTATGTCCACCTGTGAGCAAAATTGATGATTTCATTTACTCTTCCAAAATAACACCTTCACATATACCAAATAAAACTTTGAAGAATACGGAATTTATTCAAGAAAAATATTGTGCTGATTCAAGATGAGAACCTCTACAGATTCAAAGTAAAATCATCGATTTTGATTTCTGAGCACTATGTAAATAACTGAATAAACTATATTTTTCACATTGATCATTTCATTTCATGTGAATGTTCCTACAACCCACATGACTATATTGTTGGTGATCATTGAATAGATCAATCAGAAAACAGGAACGGAAATATAAATAGGTATAAGCAGCGTTAAAGCGCTTAGGTCTATGGTTATCAGCTCGTGGTTGACATGTTATTATAATAATATGAGGTAATAGATGAAAGCAAGACCTGAGAACACTTCATTTTGTTACAATTTGTGTTTACAACAAATAATCCGTGTGGTGAGAATATTCTACTTGCATTTACAGATCGGGTTTATTCGATTTTCGAGTATGTTCGAATTGTAGTCTCAATATAAATACAACCAGAGAGTGACCTATTTGTGTATTCTATTGACGTCATATCGATGAATTCATTTGGACCAGGTGCCAGCCCTAATAGCAGATACCGCGCCAGTGCCAGGTAGGGAAAAGGAGTGAAAAATGTAAGATTAGTGAGCATATCAACAGAAATGATAGCGATTATTCATTTCTTTCTATATTTCAATGTGTTTGGCCCGGTAATCAAATGAATGTAAACAATATCGTTGTGTGAGGCAGAAAAGTTCTGCTCGCTGTGATTATTCGAAAACAAGTTATCCAATCAATCAGATCCTGAGAATAAGGAGTGATCTACAGATTGAGCAAGGATGTGAGCATGGGTATGATATGCCAAATCTGCCGAAAATATGAAATTAGAAACAAATCAGGTGTGCCTCCCAACGTAAATAACCAACCGTAACAATGTTGTTCATTCTTGATGACCTAGTACATCCTTTTTAGTTCCTAGGAGCTGAAGTTCGACTAGGAACTGAAAGTGTTTCCTAGCAACATACCTATGTTTGTGTCAGTGATAAAAAGGTCAATTCAATAGCTAATTTTTGGAATTCAGAACTTTAGAATTTTGTTCAGGGGAGTAACATGCAAGAGAGGATAAGGTGAACAAAATCCTTTTTTCTTTTTCTCTTTGGTTATTGTGAATTTGTTCGAAAATTATAAAATTGTATAGTTTTTAACAAAAAAAAAAAAATTACGGTATACTCCCAGTTAAATTTGATGGAGCATATCATTCACGAGGAAATCGACTGTGGAAACTTCCTGATTCGCGTATGTTCATTCATGAAATTCAATCTGCATTAGAGGATAAATCAATCCTGTTCCACCATCATATTATTTATCAAATTTGAATTTAAAATCTTACTAACCATCAGATGTTCAATGTTCATATCGTACACTAATTTTCAAAATTGAACTTCAAAGCGTTATAAAGTAGAGAAGAAATCGTCTTCATAAGATGTCGTATTCAAAGAGGTTTATCTTCCTCAGGAGGCATTTTGGGATCCATATTCATTGAAACTTTTTGCCTCTCTCTATGCAAGCATTAAGCTCCTGAAAATATGTTTATTTTTAATCACTCTGTATAGGCGATAAATAAATCTGTTGGTTCGAAGTGTATTCACTCCCAATGCATATATATTTTTTTAAAGAAACTTCATTCATTCAATTCTGTTGCAACTGGATTCGAAGAAAACCTCAACTGCGACTGAATCTTCTTTTCTGAAACATTTGAGGTCACTACAGTGTTTTGCAAACTTTTTGCCGGCTCCAAATCGTGAACTTTTATCTCGTTCTCCAACTCCTCGATATTTTCTTCCACCTTCTTTTTCTTGTTTTTTCCTTTTCCTTTCTTCGCCGACACCTTCACAGGTGGCAAGCAGGTTTCTGGGTATAGGTTCATGTATGCCGCAACCATTCCACCACAGTCTATCTTCTTCTTCATTGGAAATTTATCAGTCAAACCGTTAATCAGATCCTTATCAAGTTTTTTAATTTTCTTCTTTTTCAACAAAGTATCGAATTCTTGACGAGTTATTGGATTTTCGGGAAGAGACAAGATGAAATGACCAAAATCTCTTTTAGCCTTCTTCTTCTTCGGTTTGGTCAACAGATATCTGCACCTCTCAAAAATGAGTTTAGCTACGTCAGGTCCTTTTATTATATAGTTGCTGAGAATTCCTCCAATTTTGATCGTTTTCCCAGAGTTTCGTATTCTGGCCAATAGAGGGACTATTTCTTTGTTGAAGAGAATATTTTCCATATCCAAGTATTTCAAGGGATGGTCTTTCGGTTTGGATGTCAATACTGAAGCTACATAGAAAGCTTCATCTGGTGGGTAGGGATTGTTTCCTATTCTAACCGTTATCAGTGACTGGTTCTTCAAAATAGCAGCTCTTATCATTCTGAGAGGTTTTCCACTCAACCTGTTACTACTCAAGTCCAAGTATTCTAAAGCTGTTGAAGCCTTGATGTACTTCGCAACTGGTGCAATAGCTGGTTTGATACTAATACCATTCCAAGCGAGGTTCAGTACTGTGATTTGATCATTTTGTTTGAAACCATTGAACAATTTTTTATTACCTGGGCCAGTGTAAAATCCATTCCAGGATAGATCTATATTTGTCAGAGATTTATTATCTAGTAGGATTCTTTCGAGTGTTTCACCTGAATCCTCTGTCAGATTATTATGGCTGATGTTAAGTTTCTTCAAAGATGATGTGTCACATAAACCTTGTTGCAAGTTTTTCAGACCGACGTCACCAAACTCGTTGAAACTGAGATCAAGTTCAGTTAGAAACTGAGAGCTGAGTAATGCCTCACTCAGCAGTTTAGCCCCTACTTCTCCAATTCTGCATCCTCTCAGATTCAGATTGCGCAAAGTACTGTTCTCTTCGATCATACTGCATAACATTACAGTCATCTCTAGATTGAGAAAGTTTTCTTCCAGAATCAGGTGCTCTATATATTCGTTACCTTTGAGGGCCTCTGTAACAGCTCGGAATTGCTTCACAGTCAATCCGTAGTACTTCAAGTTCATTGTGTCTCCGTCCAGTGATTTTATTATTCTGGAGAGAGGCACGATCTCGAGTTCTCTACAGATATTCAAATATTTTTCGACGCCGACGTCATCATATACGGGTTCGGGTTTTGAGTAGTAAAATGCTTCATCTATTCCTGGATCGACTAGAGGTGGAAACAAATACAATCTATTTTTCATTAATGAACTGTTGGACAAGAGGACTTGGGCTAAACATCTGAATGAACTTGTGTTTTTCGATAGTAGGTATTGACTGGTACATTCTTCTAGTTCTTCGTGTTCAATGTCTTCTGCTACTGATATGTTTTGAGAACTTGTTTTTGGTGACAAGTTCGATGGTTCCTTATCGCCCATTTCAGAAGTCATTGTGAAGTGATTTTATCCGAAATTGCACAATGATTTGGTGATTAGTGAATCATTGAATACACTGTCATAACATAAGGTATACCATCATTCTCCGATATGATCGAATATGAAGTGAGGGCATGCAAATAGGTGAATTTGGTTATATGAATTTTGTAATATAGATACTTTTGAAACAAACACTTACATAGCTGCAACATATGGAAAATAATGATTCTTCATCGATGATTTTTTCATTTCATAACAATAAGTTATAAACGGGTTCCAGTTCATTTGGATTTGTCATGTTTTGACAAAATATGTCATCCTAGTTTTCAAACTGACTCGGCACGTCTCTGGTCTTAGCTAATCAAGATCGTTTCATTACAATCACGATTACAATCAAAGTGATACTCTGCGGAAGGAGAATAAGCGAGTCAAACAAAGTTATTGTTGATCCGAATGAAATATCACAGACAAAAAGGATTTCTCGATTCAAGGTAGCAGCATTGATTCACCATATGGCGGTCTTGAATAGGTCCAACCAAATATTTTTGTGATGTTCCTACAGAACTTTCTTCACCGATTCATAGAAGAAACTTTTGATTCGAATGAATATTTATCTATTCTCACAGTACGTATTGGTCGAAGCAAGAATTAATCAGTTTGAAACAAAGAACATCTATTGGCAATTTAATCGCCCACCATAGTTGAACAATTTTATTCTTGAATCAAGGAATTTCGAGCTTATTACGAATATACAGGGTGTCCAGAAATTATGCGCAAAAACTCAAGGGGGCGAATATACGTTGGTCCGGAATTGCTTAGTTCTCAAAATATAGTGTGTTGAACTTAAAGAAAAAATCGTTTTTTTATGAATATCTCAAATATTCTCCCACTGATTGTTCAGCAACTATGTTCTTTGCCATGAGGGACTCATTTAGCCATAATTGAATTGGGATTGTGAAATCCAGTGGCTTCCTGGGGGCTACCTACCGAATATTATTGTCAATAAAATGTGTGCTACTGATTTTTTTGAATTCTCCATCTTTAAATCCTATTGAGCAACTGAAAATGCAACATTTTGGTCTTCCGAATTGTTTTGATATTTTGCTCCGTTTCCGCGGGAAAAAAATAAATACCAATGTATGGTATAAAGTGCAAAACATTCCTTCAAAAACAGGGGTGAAAATGAATGTGTGATCCATGTCCATATACATAAAGTAAGAATGAAAGTTCATTTTCTTCAAATATTTCATAATACATGTATGACACACTTTGTATTATTGAAAACTACGCCTTCCTGGACCGAGAATATATAGTTCTCAATATACACAGTGCAGAGTGTTTCTAACATGTATCATGAAGTATTCTAAGAAAATGAATCTCAATTCCTATTCTATGACTATATGGATGACGCATTTATTTTCACCCAAGTTTTTGAAGCAATTTTTTGGCACAAATTTTTGCCTCGATCTATGCAGTAAATAGGTAGGTATTTTTTTCCCATGGAAATGAAGCGGAATATGACAACAATTTTGGGGACCAAAATGTTGTATTTTCAGTTGGTCAATAGGTTATGAAGATACAGAATTTAAAAAAATCAGTGGCGCACATTTTATTGACAATATATTCGATAGGTTGCCCCCTGGACGTCACTGGATTTCATAATTCCAATTGAATTATGGCTATATTGGCCCCTCATGACAAAAAATATCATTTCCAGATGTCAAGAGAATCAGTGGAAGGACATTGGAGTTATTCATAAAAAACCGATTTTTTTTTAAAAAGTTCAACACAAATTATGTTGAAAACCATGCATTACCGGACCAACGTATATAAGTATATGAAACAAGTTTCTCATTTTATCCTGTGGAATCAACCCTTTGATTTTTTGCGTATACTTTCCGGACACCCTGTATAATGTATCAATATAATAAGTGAATATTTTCCTCATTTTCTTGTGCCAAAAGATTATCATTCCGAAGGTTACTAGAATGTAGCTTACTATAAGAGTATTGATGGTCTGAAATAAATTCTAACAGTTGGTAAACGAGAGGGTTTATCATAAGAACTTGTCCAAAGTTGATATTCGATGTACCAGAGTATAACTCATGTGGTGTTCGCACAGGTATTCATTCAAATCCACATGTCGAGTTTTACCCTAGTCCATCGGATATTATCTTTCGAGATGGGGGAAATATTCTCGGAAAAATCAAAGATCTGCCACTAACTTGAATAAGTTCCAATCGCGGCACGTTTGGATTTTCGCAAAGGGGACATTATTCTCTTCTATTTGCTATTGTTTCACATGACGGAAGTGTGTCCGGAATAATGGCAGCAGATAAATCGCTCTCTTGTGGATTTGACTTAGATCAAGAAGTGACAAAGCTAGGTTTCGAGATCTAAGATTCAATTGGCGTGGAATCGAAAACATTTCATCTCATTAGCAAATCGCAAAGGACCCCGCACAAAACCATAGGGAATTGGCCCACAGTGGGATTTGCCTGAAATTCACATATGTTATTGGTATGAAGTTTCTGATCAAATGTTTTCATGTGACCAATCCTCTAAGACCAAAGATTCAGCTCTCAGGGCCGTATTTAGTATAGGTGCCAAATAAAAAACAAATATGAGCACATGTTCCTAGTGTCCCTGCCCTTGATTTGCAACTGCAGTAGTATCTATACTATTTTCAATACATATTATCAATACATCTTCTTCATCATTCTCGTCAGGCTGGTTTTCATGCGGAGTGTATTGAATAAATACTTGATACCTTTCTCTCCTCCTGAATCGAGAATACACTCTAAGTCTAATGAATCTAGGTTTATTCACTCTGAGATCAATTCCAAACGACTCATGATCATCTCTAAGTAGCATAATGTAGTATTTAGGATTTGCCCGCCATAATAAAAATGTGAATTACCCATCGACTTCTGTCAAATCGTCCAGTGCAAGATGCAATACTCCAGCAGCTGTAAGTGTTCGGGAATTATGTTGATAGTGAGTGCTTGACTTTTTTGTTCACCACCCTGAAAATATCGGTTTCAACTTTGTTAGTTATGAATTAGATGAAGTTTCAATTAGATAGTAGAGTTATATTTATATTATAGAGTTAGGTAATTGAAAAAGTAAATGACCGATTTCAACAATCGAAACGTGTTCTTATCTTTTCCTGTTACTATCATTCCTAAAAAGCTACGAGATATGTCCTTTATAAAGATTGAATGTTAGGCCGACCATCTTCAATATCAAGATGGTGACCACTTTTGTTATGTACACAAAGAAATCTACATTCATCTATCAAACGACCACTGAAATAGGACAAGAAATAACAAAGTAATAACAAAATCAATTCGATTCGGCACATTGGCAAACACAGTTTTACTAAATACGGTCCTGTAGGACAAGGCATGTTTTACATGCTAAAAGACAAATGCCAAGATTTCGCAACATTTCTCATTCAATTTAATCATAATGGGAGGTACAGAAATCAAGGGCTTGAAAAAAAAAAGTGTCATTGTTTATTTGGCACCTATACAAAATACGACCCTGAGAGCTGAATCTTTGGTCTTAGAGGATTGGTCACATGGAAACATTTGATCAGAAACTCCATACCAATAACATATGTGAATTTCAGGCAAATCCCACTGTGGGCCAATTCCCTATGGTTCTGTGCGGGGTCCTTTGAGTGCAAATCACCGCACAGGAAAGTGCAATTCATCAATTATTTTGCTCAGGATAGCGATTTGCACAGGTGCCGTGCGATAAACTACAATGTTTTTACATGCTTTTGAGACATGTATCATTTCGTTATCAGTTGACGGTCGAAATTAGCAGCTGGCTCTTGGACTATAACATTTTTCAGATATTCATGACCCTTTGTTCGAAACATGATAGACATTTTCATGGCAGAGACAAAGTATCAGGTATTAATTTTTAGCACAGCGAATGGTTTTATCTGATGCCTATGCAAATATCACAACTTGTGCGGAAGTCAATGACGATGAAAGACAATTGCTATCTAAATTGATAATGAAATAGGTTGGATCTATCTAATCTAATCTAGTCATAAACTCAATCCGATTGTAACTACGAAATAGTCACAATGCTCAAAGTGGAAGGAAATGTTGAATAAATACAAAAAATCACAAATTCTTTTCCACAAATTTTCATAAAATGAACAACAATGGTATTGATGAGGGGAAAAACAACCAATTTCCTCCCGAAATCTATGCATCGATACGTATAAACGAAAAGGCCGTGACTCACGGTCCAACAATTTGATCAAATTTGTTTGTTGTGACGTCATTCTTGTCTGTTTGACTCAAATGGTTTGAAATGTCAAGAACTCTTTGTCACACGATTTGAAGATTTCTGAACAAAAATATTAGTTAAGAAGTTGCTCTAAAATGGGAAAATCACAAGGAAAAATCAAATAAAAATTCATTACATGGTCAGTATTTTGTGTTGTATTTGTAATACAAATGTTGGAAAAAGAGGGAGATATGTATGTACAAAATAATGGCTTCAAAGAAGTAATATTGGTAGAGGAGTCCTATACCTATGATTTTTGATGTAGTCAGACTGGAAGATATCACTTAGTTAATTTCAAAACTACCTAAGAATGGATGGGAGATGTTTCAGATTTTTATCAATCCATATACAGGGTGTTTTTTATATATTGCGACAAAATTCAGGAACGTGTTCTTTGAACAAAAATTCGCAAAAAAGTTCCTATAAATATAGGTCCTAAACCTTTTAGATTTTGAGCTACAGAGTGGTAAAGTTTTAACAAAAAAATGATTTTTTTTCGATAACTTAAATACCCCTGTAGATATTTGTCTAAAGATTGGTATGCAGGGTCTGTGTATCCAGAGCCATTTACCAACATACTTTTAACATTTTTATGTTCTCCAGTGGCGTGTGTGCAGGTTTTCCGCTGAATACTTTTATAAAGAAAAATGGTACGCCAGTGGTTTTTCTTTTATCAAAAAATATTTTTAAATTCCTCGTTTTATTTGCAACATTTTTGATCCCCAGGACTTTGTCCGTTAGATGCACGGTTTTCGCACAAAAAATTAAAAAACATCTACTTTGACTGATCGCTAAAATTTATTTTTTCTATGATCGTTATAAAAAGTCAGTTTTTTTTTTTGATTTTATTTAAAATTTCATTGTAGTTCATAATATGTCACTTTATTCAACATGTTAAAAAAGTGACATATGAGTAACGTGTTAATATTTCACGCTTCCAAAATCGCGAAGTAGCCTGTGAACATAATTTTTTTTAACGTAACTACGGACAACGCCGCCGCAACGATAATCACATTCTTGTTTAAGACGCCAAAATTAATGTCAAAGTGAATAATTTAAGTACAAGTTGACAAGATTAATTTGTTAAAAAAATGGCTAACAATTACACAAATAATGAAATGTGCGATATGCACTTCATTTATGGACTGGCTAACGGAAACGCACGAGAAGCCTTGCGTATTTATGCTGAACGTTACCCGAATCGTGTTATTCCTCATCACTCCATGTTTACGCGTTTACACCAACGTCTAAGTGAAACCGGCAGCTTTAAAAAACTCACCGCTGAAAACGGACATCCCCGAACAGTTACTCCTCAAATTGAAGAACACGTGCTCAATGAATTCGAGGAAGATCCCACCACAAGCACTAGGAAAATTGCTCAGACGGTACACATTAGTAACTTTACAGTTTGGAATATTCTTAAAAGAAACCTTTCATACCCGTATCATATTCAGCGGGTGCAGGCACTTTTGCCAGGCGATTTTCCGAAAAGAACGGCTTTGTGTCGTTGGATGCAAGAACGCATAAGGCAAGATGCACCGTTTATAAGAAAAATACTTTTCACCGATGAGGCTAATTTCTCCAGGGACGCAATTATGAACTTCCACAATAACCACATATGGCATTATGAGAACCCACATGCTGTGGCAGAAAACCGTCATCAGCACCAGTTTTCACTTAATGTATGGGTCGGCATTATTGAAAACTTTCTCATCGGTCCATTTTTTTTACCAGCAAGGTTGACTGGACAAGTGTATCAAGAATTTCTTGAAAATGAATTACCAGTGATGCTAGAAGATGTCCCCATTCAGCTGAGACAGCAAATGTTTTTTTTACATGACGGTGCTCCAGCCCATTTTAGTTTAGTGGCTCGGCAGTATTTGGATATTACGTATCCAAATCGTTGGATAGGTCGGGGTAGTATTAACCCTTGGCCCCCACGGTCTCCCGACTTAAATCCGCTGGATTTTTTTTTCTGTGGGGACACCTTAAATCACTGGTTTATAGAAATCCAATTGATAATGTGGAGGAATTGCGTAATCGTATTATAACGTCTTGTGACATAATTCGGCAGACACCAGGAATTTTTGAACGTGTCCGCCAATCAATGCGACGTCGATTAGATGCTTGTATTGATGTTGGAGGAGCATACTTTGAACAACTTTTATAAAAATAATAATATTACCTAAATAAATAATAAAAAATGAAATATTTTTTATCACTTAAAAACTTGTATTTTAAATTAAAGATTGTAGAAGCAGAAGTTTTAAATCCTCAATTACAATTTTATTGAATTGGGCTGGCTTTTGTACTTAATTAATTGATAAAATTTAAAAAAAAAACTTACTTTTCATAACGATCATAGAAAAAATAAATTTTAGCGATCAGTCAAAGTAGATGTTTTTTAATTTTTTGTGCGAAAACCGTGCATCTAACGGACAAAGTCCAAGGCATTAAAAATGTTGCAAATGAAACGAGGAATTAAAAAATATTTTTTAATACAAAAAAAACAGTGGCGTACCATTTTTCTTTATAAAAGTATTCAGCGGAAAACCCGCACACCCGCCACTGGAGAACATAAAAATGTTAAAAGTATGTTGGTAAATGGCTCTGGATACACAGACCCTGCATACCAATCTTTGGACAAATATCTACAGGGGTATTGAAGTTATCGAAAAAAAATCATTTTTTTGTTAAAACTTTACCACCCTGTAGCTCAAAATCTGAAAGGTTTAGGACCTATGTTTATGAGAACTTTTTTGCAAATTTTTGTCCAAGGAACACGTTCCTGAATTTTGTCGCAATATATAAAAAACACCCTGTATATGCGCGTCAAAGTATACCTGCAGAAATAAGGTGAGATCATAACAAGGTCTCTAGTCAACCAAGCATAAATTTGGGATTGGAGCAAGACGAAAATATTCCAATAATTATCCGAAATGGTCCTCAGTCCAATCACCAGGACAGGCATTTTTGAAGTATCATCACAAACATCCTAACCTCAGTGTTTGATCCAACATGACAAATTTTCAGCTGCTGTTTGACGTGACGTCACTGATGACATCACAGATCTGTAGTTTGAAAAAATGGTTGGACCGCGAGAGACAGCCTAACCTAAATGCAAGTGTTTCTTTCCCTAATGCCGATTAAATTCGGTTTAGCCAGGTTAAGGCAACGACACATACATACCGGTTTCGAGCTTTTTTGGCTCTCATCAGTGTAGGGTAGTCTCCAGCTAGCTCAATCAGCAATATTTGTAGTCTAAGAGGAATATTCTGTGAGCCACATGGTTTTAACGCCATCTGCCATTGTTGTTTATTTTATGAACATATGTGGAAATGATTTGAGTTTTCTGTATTTATTTTTCGATCCGATTTGTTGTAGCAGTGTATTGAATATTCCAACCAAATATGAGGTTGTGGAGAATTGAGACAGTAACATTATCGATGGAATATATTATGATAACCAAGTTCTCCCAGTGTTTGGTATAATTGATTGTTTTTCATCAATACAACTTCTAGGGTACTCAACTTTTTGTACATTGAAAAAGATATCAGAATATTCTTAGTTTTTTTCAAGAAGAAGTTTTTAAGTATGTGTACCTACCAATTATATAGCTGGATTATCGAAAGAAACCCGTGTTTAAGAATGATGTGAATACTAGAAATCGGAAAAATTTTGAGCCTGCTATTCAAATTCTCTTGCCTTCACCTGACATCGGGGACTTGAAGAGCGAGCTATGAAAAGCATTTTGTGTAACTCTGTGTTAATCCCATCGTTACACAAAATAACGCTGTTCTGTCTATAAACGTAAATATCTATTTCTAAGTAGTTCATATTGCTAATTATTCGTTTTTTATGGATCGACAGATGGAATCAAAGGTGATTCACACTGTATGCATACAATTTAGCATTGTTTCAACAAAAGCAGCATATCTGTGAAAGTAATGATATGATCTGTGCAAATATTTTTTGAATTAGTAATCTGATGTTTCTATTTCTCATGTTGATCAGACATTTGAGTATTAAATGAGTTAGAACTCGTCTAGAGGTAGCTTTCTGTTTCAAGCTGAATGTAAGTATCCCTGCTACTTCACCAAATTTCAATATCGATTTTAAATGTATCGACATTCTTGACGAATTTAGTACAAATCATGTGATATTTTCGAATTAGATTTTGCTTTACCAGATATCTGCAATATGCAGTTTGTAAAATAATCATGTCAGTGATTCGATTTCAAAATAGGTACCTAATAATAGTCGAAATCTAATCATTCTTGGTGTTCCATATTTATATTTCTCCTCCCTGTTCCCTACATAACGCAAAATAATTATCAGCTTCATAGTTATAGCCTTTCTGAAGTCAATTCGATCAGGTTCACCAAAAAGTATATGCCACGTGGTGTCGGTCCCTCTAAATTTCAAATAGACCGATTGCACGTGGCAGACATTTATCGCTCGATAAGGCTCCAGCTGACAATAATTATTGTTGTTCTACATACAGGGTGATTCACGTAGGCTACACCTGAGAAGTTTTCTAACTTGCAGTTGAACTAAAAGTAGGTGTGCTCTTATAATCAATCATTGATTCCGATGTACCTGAAATATTTTCATTCCTCCAGTTGTACAGAATGTGCCAGAAGTTGGCACCAACTTCCTTAGAGAATGCGAATTCTCAATGTTTTTCTTTATATATGTTATTACCGGTCATACCCAATTTGAGGATAAACTAGTTTTCCCTTGGCTAAATCTGTATATCCGAAGAGCGATAGGATGAATTAGTTTGTCCTAGTCTAAACTACTTCGTACTACTTTGTTCATATTTTGTGAGGAAGGAACATACACCTCTATGAGTAGATCATTCGGGAAGCTGATTGAAAAAAAATTCAATGACTATACCGTTTCCGTTCGATGTACTCATAAAGGTGCATATTCCTTCCTCACAAAATATGAACAAAACTAGTTCATCTTATCGCTCTTCGGATATAGTGATTTAGCTTAGGCAAAACTAGTTCATCCTGAAATCGGGTTTGTCCGGTAACATATATATATATATATATCCATTTCTTCATGTTCACCATTTTATCTGAGAATATTCCTTTTCAGAAGATTGAAAATGATTGATTATAATAGCATACATATTTTCAAGTTCTAGGATATGACAAAAAAATTCAATATACTCCTTGCTAGAATTGAAAACAGAAATTTTCGATATATTTTTCGTGTTTTATTTTCCAAGAATCACTGCTGTCATGGAATTGATTCATACATGAATGACGATTCTTTAGATTTTCGGTGTTCCTTGAATAAAATATAGAAGTTCGATGACTAAATTCCGGTTTGTCGGTTTAAAAAAAAAAAAAAATCGAACATTTATTAATATTCTAATTCGATTGTTTTTGTTATCCATCGAAATATAGTGTGAAATTATTTGAAAATCATAATTTTTTTAATAATATGTTGAAACGACATAAAATAATATTCAGTTTGTATCTCCGTTTGCCAGATGAATTAATGAACACTCTGTATTCCTTATTCGAAATTTCACCTCATCACGTCACGTATGGAAGTGAAAATTAATTTTCAATAAAACCTATACACAGGTTGAGTCGAAAATGTGTACTGAGCTTTCTGAAGGTGATATTAAATTAAAAAATAAGTATTGTTTGATTAATACACTTATGGTTCAAAATGTATATTGAGGGATATATATCCTTCCATAAAGATTTGATGTTCAGGAAGAGAAAAACACCATGTCATAGGAAGTTTTCAGAATTCAAACTACATATGAAATGAATATCTAATATTTTATCATTCAACTATTATGATTCTCATATCAGAAATCATTTTGTTCCAGGTCAAAATGGTTTTGGCTCTCAAAAGTAGTTACTTCAGATCGTTCATACTCCTTATTCCCATTCTCTTTATCATAACCTATATCTCAACTATCGATACCGACATCAAGATACTGCAGATTGGCCGCCAAAGAAATTTCAATTGGGGTGAAGACTACAACAGACTGATCAACATCTCATTTTCCTTCACCACACTTCCTCTGACCTGCTCAATGAATCAAAACATGTTCACCATACTGATCTTCACTTCTCCGAATAATTTCCATCGTAGGAAAACCATAAGGGAAATCTGGGCTCCAAACGATCTAGGGGTGAAAATCTATTTCCTTCTTGGCTTAACCGACAACGAAACCATTTCCACACAACTGGAAGAAGAGAATCAAATCCACACGGATTTCATCCAAGGCAGCTTTTTAGATAGCTATCATAACCTGTCTTACAAGCACGTGATGGCATTGAAATACATGTTCTTCCATTGCCCTGACGTCAAGTATCTTGTTAAACTCGATGATGATACATTCGTGAACATGAATCGAATGATGAAGTTCCTGCATGAACAATACGAAATAGATAACCACTCGAAACGGATCATGGGCGAAATAAGAATCGGACATCCAGTGTTACGTTATGGAAAGTGGAAGGTATCTATGGAGGACTATCCCAATGATACTTACCCACCCCACTGCCCGGGCTACGCTTTGATTTATCCTCATGATGCGATTTTTGCTTTGTATCCGGAAGCACAAAGAGGAAGTTTTTTCTGGATAGATGATGTGTATGTGACTGGAATGATCGCTAGGGATAGTAATGTCGGCCATGTTGATATCAGCAAGCATATGTTCATAGAGAGAGGTGATGGGGTTGAGTTTTCGAAGATGAATATCTCGGATGAATTCATAATGGCGGGATATGAAATCTCTGAAGAGAATATGCGTTATTTGTATAATCTTACGAATAATTCAACATCAACTGGATGAAGCCTACGTTGGTGGGAAATAACCGGAAATAACATTATAGGTGAAGTTTAGTTACGATGATATATGAAGTAACAATGGGAGAGAATTCGGAAACGTCCATACAAATAGGAAATTCTACGAGAAGTAATAAAAAGTCACATCATCAGTCACATGGAGGATGGTCAACGTGAAAATGCGACTGGCGTGAATAATCAAATCGAAATTGGTGAATAAGATTTCCTCATTCCATTTCACAGCGACAAGTGTTTATTGATTCATGCAGTCGAATTTTTTTCTGTGTCATATTTTGGTTCTGTCAATTGTCAGTGTTACAGGTTAGGTTAGGTTGAGGTAAGAGGTGATCAAGTATCACGTGACTGAACCTCCCTTTATTCCAGTTATTGCTTTGTCGCCTTCGGCTCTCTGAACTAGGAAATTACTTTGATTGTAATTGAAGCAATTTTGAAGGCTTCACGAAAAGACTGACATTCCCAAATGATTCTCTCAATTCTCAACTGATTTTCATAGTTTTTCACATAATATATGTAGCAGATGCATTAACTCATGATCTATAAAAACAATCTTTATGAAGGAGAATATTTCATCATCAATTTCGATATGATTTTTTCAATCCTTGTATAGGACTTGAAGTTGGGACGGTTTCGAATCAACTCCTATTGTTACCACTCTGTTGATTCCCCTTCCTCAATTATTCATTTTACATAGTAAAAGAATATTTTGATTAAATAGTAGGTTCCTTGTAGGGATTCATTCGATCACTTTAATGTTTGAAATGAGGATACCATGTATATCATTGCATTATTGGATTTCACGTTGAATTTTTTTAACGTTTGGAATTATGACCACTTCGACTATTTCTGTACCAGTTCACTGAGAAGACCGTTATGAATGTAACACAATCTATTCCACTCGTAACTATTTGGGTAGTTTCAAGGTTTTTTTGTGATATGTAGAATGAAAAACTCACGAGGGTGAGTGGGGGAGGTAACGAACTTTTGGTCGCCACTCTCTATTATCCACTTTGAGAAATATGGACTTCTAACCAAAGATTTTTGAAGCAGCTATATAGACGTGAGGAATGTGAGAGATTAGAAAAAAACTCAATTCACCTCCAACGTTCCTATAATTTATAATTCAATCATGTTCACAATAAAAACAAACTATTTATATATTATTATACTCTTAAATTTTTTATGCTCCTGAACGACCAGAATCAATATTGTTTAGTCAGAAAAATCCTTGAATTTGAATTTTAAAATGGAACACTTTGTAATATGTAAAATTTTTTGATTCAGAGTCTTCAATTCACATGCAGAAGCGTAATATTTGGGTCGATATTTCATAAGAGTCATGTTTTGTTTTGTCATCGTTTCATTTGATATTCGAGAAAGTATTTATTCAAAAGTACAGGGTGTTCTATCTGGAAAAAGGTACATTAACAAATAGAAATGAAAAACTCCAAAGTGGCATGTTTTGTGGCCACCCTGTATACCGTCAGAAGTGGTTAAAGTCTCTATCGTTTTCGATGCGTTGTCGATGATATAGAGGTAGTATTTGGGAAGACATTTTCTACTCACACTACTCGATTTTTTTTTCGGATTCCCAATAAATTTACTGAGGGATTATTAAATGAGTCTACGGCAATATTGGCGAAATAATATATTATAGACACTTGCCTTATAGATTCGTTGATACCTGGTACGACTACTAGTGTGTCACATATGTCACATATTATGTCACATGGCTCGCAATAATGATTTATGTATATTTTTTCTCTATTCGTGCGGAATAATGCCCAGGTATACCAAAGGCTATACTTAATCATAATTATGCTATTTGCTTCAAAAGTGATGGATTGAATTATATAAAGGATACCTGCAAATTATTTATTCATTTAGCTCCACTATTTCTTCAATCACAAAAAAAAACACAAGAGTGATTTGCGACTTTATATCAATATACTTCAGTCGAATTATTGTAGATAAACAGAGGTAACTATGGATAACACTCATATAATTTGTTACTCGGTTGTTCTTGTCGATCGAAACATGAGTACACACTAAAAGGAATCCTTCAAAAAATGATCTTTGCATAATGAATACCTACAATCAGATTTATATAGTCACAATCTTGATATCTAATAAACAAATGATTCTGGATTCAATATAATGATTTTCTTATCATGACTACCTAGTTCAGCCTGAATATCTTCTAGAGTCTTCCCTTTGGTTTCAGGGATACAGTAAATTATAAAAACAAGTCCCAGACTACAGCAAACTGTGAAAGTAAAGAAGGGCACATGCATTCCATACGTCTCACTAGACCAATGGAAATATTTCGAAATTAGAGTACACATAACACTATAGTAGATATCCATCGAGCAAAGTGCAAAAGCTTTAACATTAGTTGGAAATATCTCCCCCATCACTAGCAAAGGAATCGTCTGCAAACCTGAGCTGAATATGATCACGAAGCAGAGTAGACACAGAAGAGGGATGAAGTCCAATCCACTAATGTCAATATTTGAACAGTTCTTCAAATACAAGTAGGTACCATTCACCAACAAGGTGACAGCAGTACCTGCGGTGGATATAATCAGTAGTGGTCTTCTTCCGGAAAAATCCACCACGAATGAGCTCACTGCCGATAAGAACAGTTGCACTGAGAAGTATATGATTGTAGCTGTACTGGCTGCGATGAAACCATTAGATTCTTCGAATATCGTCTTGCAGTAGAATATTATGACTGTAGTACCTGTTAGCTGCTGAACTCCTCTCAAACCTGAAGAAAATATAGTGATATTTAATTATAACAAGTTGCGATTTTGGGGTGTATCTATGGTATATAGTCCCCCACCCACTAAACACTCCACCCTGTTTGTAGGCTCGTCTAACTGATGTCTCCGACGACACTTAGGCCTAGTGACCCATTGTATATTACCTACATGCCGTTTTCAATTCTGCCATATACGACTTATGGTGCTTATCAAATGCCACTCCATTATGAAAGACCATTTTCGCTTAGGTTCCTGAAGGTTACTCTACCGATCCCTGTTCTCCTCTACGAAGAAGGCCAATAGTTTTCCTTTCCCTACGAGTGACAGGGGGTACAGCCCTGTGGTGTACCCTGCACAGAGCTGAGGCTATTTACTCTGAGATGTCATCTTATTTCCAAGAGGCACCGACAGCGACACCATACCTTGGTGCCATTCATCCATCGTCACAGGTTCCCACAGCTTGAGTTAGGTTGCCAGAGCCTCGTTGACCAGTCCTTAGCCACCTAGACAGATATAAGGAGATCGCCCCATCTTTGCCGCAGATGTCCACAAATTGTCCCATCTGGCCCAGACATAGCAAAGATGGTCCCAAAATGCTTCATCTGTCTAGTGGCCGCCGTCTGTTCTCCTTACACCACTCGATGGTGAGGTTGGGTCTGGAGGCGAAGAGGAAATGAGAAGTTGGCCGATAGGATAGATTGAAAAAGCAAAAGTGAAGAGGATATCACCCAAGACAAGTTCAAGTTTGATGAATATCTGGCTAAGGTACCTCGGGTTCACCATTCTCGTACTCAAAAGTTGTGAGTCCCTGATGGGTATATACGTACAAACATACAGGTGGAGCGAATGAAAAGTGTTGAAAAACATAGAAGCTTTCTTTCACCCACATCAATAAATGGAATACTTGGTCTCACCTAATGTAATAATCAATCCCTTCCGATTACTCCTGATCCTCAACAAGTCCAAGAAAGATCCTCTAGTTTCATTCTGCTCGATCACAGCCTTGGACATTCTCCTCAACTCAGCTTCAACGTTACTCCTTCCTCTGAACTTCTGGAGGCTCTTCCTCGCTTCCTTCTCATTACCCCTCATCAAATAGAAGTAGGGGCTTTCTGGCATCCAAGAGAAAGTGAGGAGGAGAAATATGGGGATGGCCGTTCCGATGAAGGCCACTGTGTCCAGTGGCAGGCAGCTTCCCAGGATATTGATGAGGAGTATGCCGAATACTATCAGGACTGGACAGGCTGAGGCTAGGAGGCCTCTTATTCTCGGTTCAGCTATTTCTCCCAGATACATGGGCACTGCAGTGAACGATAATCCATCGGCAGCACCTGAATCAATAGTTATTTATGTATACAGGGTGTCCCGAAATTAGCCTGCAAAGCTTCACCAGCGCCTTCTTCGACCAAAAATAGGAAGAAAAGTTCCTACTCCTGATTGAAATTTCGAAATGATTCAATTTTCACTGCATTGGGCATGAAAATTTTAGTTCTTGTACCAAATTGCATCTTTTTATCACATGAAATACTCAAGAAATATCATCTTCAGGAGCCCCCTTTCAGGGGGCCGTAGCTTCCTCAGGAGACATTTCTCGACTCATGTTCATTGAAAGTTTCATTTCTATTTTTGGTAGTAAAAGCCACTGATGGAGTTTGGCAGGCTAATTTTGGGACACCCTGTATATATTTGATCCTTATTCTATTTGATTCAGAGCAGGCAAGGTCTCTCTTATCCTGATATCTATCTAGAAAAAAAAATATAGAAAAAAAAAATGGTATTGAAGTTTGAAGTGAACATACGAGCGTCTAGGGGTCACACCATAGATATTAATTAATTTATTTCTGACAGTGACATTATAAGCTTATATCGTCATAGTTACGATATCTATTATGAGGGTCATAACTCCCTTGGGATGTTATAGATGCTATAATTCCCTCTAACTTAAATTAAATAAGAAATGCATAGCAACAACCATGCCAGTAACGTAGCAATAAGGAATCTCCTATTCGCGGTAGTCAAGATCATCATCTGACGTTCTGATGACATTGAAACTATACGGAAAAACATGTCTAACTTCCAATCGGGAAGGTATCTAATGAATGAAATCAGTCAGAAATAAAATTATCTATGTATCACGGGAATTACTGAGCCTCAATAACCTCAGGCAATTGCTGTCCCTCGGGCCAGAGGCCCTCGGGACGCAAACTTTGCCATCGGTAATTAAGGCCCTCATAATTCCCTTAATACATAAATAACTATTTTGTAGAATATATTGAAAAAAATTCCAATATACAGGGTGTCTGTAAAAGGTCTTTACAAAAACATACCACATATTCCCTAGACCAAAATAAGTCGATTTAAGTGAAATTACCTCAGTACAAAGTTGCATCGAATGGGCTCCAGAGGGCCTTGAAGTTACAATTTTTGAATCGTTTTACCCATATAAATTTGAAACGGCAAATGCGATTTTGCTGAAATTTGGTATATTGATAGAGTTTTATGTGGCAAAAAAATGGTGTTTAAATTTTGTCCGATAATAATACATAGGCGTATAACTTGATTTTTTGAATAATTGCACCTTTAAAAATTCTACGCCAATGGAAGAAAAGGAGTTCGAGTATGAAATTTAGATTGCGCCACTCATCTACTCTCAAAAAGGTACTCTTGATAAGACTCGATTGCTCTCATGGTTTTGACGAAATTTGCATTTCAGTAATTTTAGAACATAAACAATAACTATTAAAATACAAACTTTGTCAAAACCATGAGAGTAAATCGAGTGTTATCAAGGGTACTTTTTTGTAGTAAATGAGTACTCAATCCAAATTTCATACTCAAACCCCTTTTCTGCCATAGGCGTAGAACTCGATTTTTTAAATAAGAATTGCACCTTTGAATATGTCAATATCTATGCCATTACTTATTTGTACTGCCACTCAACTGCCACCCCCACGAAAGAGACAAACTAACATGAAATTTGATGTTTTCATTGAGAAATACCTCTATATATACCAAATTTTCATTCCAATATCATAATTATTTTGAAGGTGATTAACAAAAAACAAAAATAAGAATTCAACTTCGACACTCTGTATCTCAGAAACGAATAACTTTCGGACATATATTTATACGAACTTTCCTTCTTATTTTGACGCCAGCAACATGCTCCTGAATTTTTTACACGTACTTAGGAAACACCCTGTACACCAAGGTAGTGAATAATATCATTATTACCCAGGGACCAGAATTATATCCTGAGGATTCAGCCAAGGGGTGTATATAAGGTACCATCGTAATAATATTCTTTTTTCTGTGACGGGAAAAAAGTTTGGCATTTCATTTCTGTTGGCATGTTATAAAATGTCACTTTTCATAAATTACTTTTTTCCCGTGGGAAAAAAGTGAGTACTTCTTTCCCGGATATATATCACATATATATACACTGTTGATTTGATGCTACGCGTCGGGAGACAACACAACCTGGAGCTAAAATCTACTACTTTTTTCCCTTGTATAATAAATAACTATTACTTCCAAGGTGTATATGAAATTTCACCACAAGCAATATATATCGATCATTACAGTATACTGTGAAACTGAAATGCGGACCTATGTCACTATGAAAATACTTATCTTCAATTCCAATTAAAATCTAGTTAGCATGACAGCATATGACGACTGACGAGCCGTTATTGGCCGTTATTGATAAATACCTACTAGATTCGAGTGTCATTCCAGTGAATAATGAATCAGAACAGTGGCTATGTATTCATTGACTAGTGGTTCATGAATTGATGAAAACTACCTTAAGAGGGGCGTAACCAAGGTCATTTCACAATGGCTGGAATGCAGACCTCTACTATGAAATGACTTTCGGCGTTATTAAAAGTCCGATTGCCAAATAGATTGAATCATCATAAAGACGAAAGTTCCGACTCGGGTTTGGATAGTTTTGAAGGCAAATTTCGTTCGATTAAGAAAGCTGCAGAAGATCAAAAAGATGTGAACATTGTAAAATTTTGTGTCTCAGAATAACGTTATATTCACTCATACCCTGCGTTATTATTCTGGGCAACCCACACTAGAATATCAGCTCTTGAAATGTAACCATTTAGATGAAAGCCTTTTTTATATTCAATTTATGTAAACAATAGGCCTATATATCTTGTATGGATAATATCTTCTCTAAATTAGATGGTAGAAAACTTGAATATCGTAGTTCAGGTACTCTCTGCTAGATGGAGGTACCGTCGCAGCAGTCGGCTCTAAAAGCATCTAATCTAGTACGTTTTGGCGAACTGGATGATGTACCATTAGATGGAGCTCAAAATGTGAAAAGTTTGTTATTTGTTCAAGAATGCCTTTGCACGTTCAAGGTTGTCGGAGGCAATAGCAAACATTTATCACTCATTTTTTAATTCACTAATGGCGGTAAATTCGAATTCGTTAGTTATAGTTGTACTGGATGTGCTTCTAACGAGCGCATCACGGACGTGAGATCATGAAAAAAGTTTATAGAAATCGAATTGGAGTGAATCACAAAATTTTATGTCTCAACAATATATGCTTCCATTTTTGGCGATTGTGGAATAAACTGGTCAGCGGATATCAATATATAAGCTGCTCATAAATTTGATTGAAATTCACGAACCCAGACCAGTGTTGTCACCTTAGTGTATTTTACCCTAGAACTGAATCTAAATGGGTCTGTTTGAGTGGAATTTCATATTTCATTATGTCGATTTACAAAATCAAACTATATATAATTCACTGTCGGAAATCATTTTCTTGTCAGAGCTATGTACAATTTTCGAAATTTTTATTATTGAAATTATACTGATATTTATCACATGAAAAACGCGGAACATTGCGTCCGAACATTGATCCGACCTATGTATTGCCGAAACTTGGAGTGCAAATATTTTCCTTTGACTTTTGTGGGCCGGCCGACTCGGTGCGATTGTCGGCGATATGGCTGCCAAGCCGTCGCCGTTTGTCGCCCTAACAACACAAGTACATCCTAGGGACTTCCCAGGGACGTCCCTAATTTTATACAAGGACATCCCAGAGATATCCTTTGTCGGGACAGAGTACATATATTAGGGACGTCCCAGGGACATCAGCTGGCTGACAAAAAAAGCATTCAAGGGATTTCCGTCTGGTACGTCCCTGGGATGTACCAAACCAAGAACGAAGAAAGGATATCCCTAGGAGGTCGCAAGGATATTCCAGGGACATCCCTTCGACAAAAGAAAAAAATTAGGTCGAGTAGGGTTTGAACCCGGGACTTTTAGCTTATCAGGCACGCACCTTAATCCATTGGCTGATATGCCTTCTGAAGATTTATGTGCCAAACAGATTTTTAAACAGGACTAAACTGCAGAAACCTGAATAAATACAACTTTGTTAGGATTTGGGTATAATTATTATTATAACTCCGATTGACTTGAAATTTGGCAGGTGTTCATAATTTCGGTGACAATACATCATGGAATTTTTGTTGAAATTAAAAAAAATGGCTGCTCCAAGATGACGGACGAGATTTGGTCCGATTCCATTCAAAATTGGTAAGTGGGGGTTTTTGAGGTCGGAGATCATGATATTTTTGTTAAAATTTATTAATTCAAGATGGCGGCTTCCAAATAATTTTTTGTTTTTGTATAAATGACGACAACTCCGTTGTTATCAACACAAAACTATTACTGCGACATATCATCTTTGAGGGAAAAAAAAGTTATTTGTAACTAAGTCATAGTGAGCTATGACCTACATTTGAAAAACTAAAGTTGGTGCTGATATCTCAAATTCTAGAAGAGTTGGCATAAATTTCATATTTTTTTCGAAATCACTTTGAAAAACTGCCATGAGAATGTGAAATTCCTATTTGTATATTTTCATAAATAAACAAGTTACGGAGGAGGCATGAAAATGATAAAAATCTGTTATTTGCGTATAAAACAAAAACGAATAGATTTTATCAAAATATTTTTTTACATTATAGTTGGCCTTGACAAACTCCACATTTGGTGTCATTTAACCGACCTCGTATCTCTCACCGTTAAAAAGATACCCATGGTGAGCATGGTAAGTGGGACACACTGTATATGTTCCAATAGTTATGACTATCACTATCTGTATATTATGCCTATTATAGATGATGTATTTTATTTCATTTTTATAGTGAACCATTAACAATCAAAGATTCAAAGATATCTGACTATTTATTTTCTATCTACTGATGACACTCTAATAAGAAATTATCATATTCAGATTGATTATATTATCAATATTCGGTAATGTCTTAAAAATACAAAACTTCAATATGGAATATGGATACAAATTGAGTGAAAAAAATAATCAACGAAAAAGGCGTGAGATGTTTTTCCAGATATACATATATATTGGTCTAGGCAAAGTATGACAAGTTATTCACAAGGGAATTTAAAAAAAAGCCACGGAGTAAGAACCCAACTGAGTGAGAGATCATAATATGTTCTTCTCTCTTCCGCAAGGAACCGAGGGAAAAATCAATACTCGCATCTCGTTGTTATTATTGTTTTGGTTGCGGATGGCAGATTCCCCATATACGTCCATGGGATTCACCGAGCGTAGCAAACATTTTTTTATCGGAACCGGTCGGGCGGGTCGGGTCTCATCTCAGAAGACAAGGATAAACAAACATTTCTGGAGCGATGGCACGCGGTGGGATGGGATCTGTAATTCTGTACAAAAGTGTAGTAATCTGTACAATTAGTTCAGACATGTTCTATGTGCCTAGTGGAGTTGCTACCTCACAGTGGCTAAACGATAGTCGAGGGGATGAGCGGGGCATCGACTCGAAAATATAACACAGGTTGGGCATCTTCCCAGCGTAAGCGTAATATATCAATCAACGACTGAACTATGTTGAAAATAATATGATTCATCATTTATCCATCTATCGGCTGGAATTGTAAGTAAATGTTCTGTCAGCCATCATCCGTCATAATGTTTCGTGCCCTGAGCGCCCTAGGTGGTCCAATCGGCAGTCGATTTGAATTGTACTAGATCGATACAGATTTCTGTACTGATATTAGGCTTCGAAAAATTGACGAGCTCTGCATTGAATTTTCAAGATGGCGTAATTAATTTATGATTTCTTCACCGTAGTGACATCTTGCGAGAAGGTCAGCGTTAAAATGTGGACGCCCATCTTAATAGTAAAAATACACTTTACGTCTTCAAAAGAAGTAAATAATGGTAGGTTCTATAGCTAGTGGTGAAAATACACTACCCGTCTGATATCTGAGATAAATAAGTGTCGAGCGCGGTTAGTACTTGGATGGGTGAGTGTGACCATTCAAGGAAACGCCGCGTAACCCCTCACATCTATAGTGAAATAGCATATCATAATCTATCTACCTGCTAGAAAACGACCGACGAACATCCAACTCGATGACTTCGCGAATCCAACCATTAGCCAAGACGCTAGAAAGGGAATCGAGGAAAATATGATCAGTTTCTTTCTCCCCAATCTGTCCACAATCAGAGCAGTGACGAAAGCGCCCGTTATGGCCCCAATCAGTGGGATTACCGTCAGCCAGGATCCCTCTTCGCTGGTTATCTGGAAAGTGTAATTTCCACTGCGCAGAACTGGAATATAAGGGGACGGCCAGCCATAATGCATTTCGCTGCATACTATTCCCAAATTGACTGAAAAATAACTATTTTTAGTTGGTCGATTACAAATGTGTCCTATTTTTGATGTCTTCAAGGGATACCTAGCTGAATTTTAAGAAAGTGATTTGCGCTTACCGCGAAAATTCCCCTTTTTTTGAGTGAGGTTTACTTAGCTGTGTGCACGTATAGATTATTTTTCAACTCTTGGAGCGAACGAAGGGAAGATAGGGAGAGGATTAAGGGAAATCCACTGAGCCCTTTACTTACTAAAATTTTCATGGATAACTTGGAGCGAATAATACATAAACATTCATTGATAAATCAATGTTTGTATTGGTATAGATACGTAGATGACGTTATAGTATGCTACAAAAAGAACCAATAGACAATTAGACTCTTTTCACCAATACTAGAAATTGAGGATCATCATAAAAATCATTCTCGAAATAAAACTACTACTAGGCGTGATACATGTAACGAAAACCTCATGCATTTAACAGAATTATTGAGAAAAGAAGACTATCAAATAGTTTATCAAAATAACCTAGATGTCAACAATGCCTACGAATTTTTTTTCAATATTCTGATGTACTATTTAGATGTCTCATATGTCCTTGTATAAGTATCCGAATTGAAATGGAAACTAACAAAAATGAGTGGATCACAAATGAAATCAAAGTTGAGGGTAGGAAATTGAAGGAACTGTATTTGTTAACTAAAAATATCTGCAATGATGAATCATTAGAATTTTATCGTGAAAAGAGATCTCAGCATAGGCGTAATATCGTAAACGCAAAAAGAATATTTTATCAGAACAAGATAACGGAAACCGATACCATACAGAATAAACAGAAACAAGTTTGGAGGACTGTCCACAAATTGACAGGAAAAAGAATGCAAAATGATCATCCGCGAGAGTTGTATATTGATAATAAATTAGTCAACGATAATTGTCTTATAGCCAACAAATTTGCTGATTATTATTCAACAATAGTTTCAAGCTGTATTCAACAACACTTTCATGATAACGTTTCAGTTGGTACAACTGATATGAGCAAGTTGCCGTGTACCTTTTATTTTTACCCTGTTACCCCAATTGAAGTTTTCAGTGTCATCAATGAGCTCAAAAATAAAAATTCTACCGGTATGGATTGCCTTACCACAAAAATCATGAAATCCATCTCGTACTTTATCTGTGAACCACTCGCATTTATTATCAATTTATCCGTAGAAACAGAAACGTTTCCAGATATGCTGAAAGTAGGAAAAGTTGTTCCACTATATAAGAAAAGTGATCCGCTCATCATTGATAATTACAGACCAATTACAATTCCTAGTGTTATTAGCAAAATTGTGGAGAAATGTATCTATAATAAACTCTATCCATTCTTAGAGAAGTATAATGTTATCAGCAAGTATCAAAACGGTTTCTGCCCAGGTAGATCGACAGAAAGCGCTGCTTCAGTATTCCTGGAGAATATCTATAGCGGTATTGATAAAGGAAAGTATGTTGCTGCGCTGTTTTTCGATTTAACCAAAGCTTTCGACTTCATTGACTTCGACATACTTGCTGATAAACTGTATACCATAGGTATTCGTGGAAAATTCCACGCTTGGATTATATCCTACATGAAATATAGGAAAATATTTGTTAAATGGCAGGATTCTAACTCAGAACTATTTGATATAGATATCGGTGTACCACAAGGATCAGTGTTAGGACCTTTATTATTTTTACTATATATTAATGATCTCCCACAATATATAGGAGGTACATCAATCACATTATTTGCTGATGATACCTCAATCTCGGCTGAAGCCGACAGCCATGTGCAACTTCAGTCCAAACTAAACATAATAGGTGAAAGATTTACTGCTTGGTGTCAGAGTAATAGACTGATAGTTAATGCTGAGAAAACTGTGCTAATTCAGTTTTTTGGTAGAAAAGCTACGGATTCACCTATTTCTGTGAATATTAATAATATTACTGTACACCCTTCGGATACAACAAAGTTTTTAGGTGTATATATAGACACCGAATTGAAATGGAAACACCATATCAACTATGTATGTAAAAAAATAAATAGTAGTTTTTATGCTCTACTGCAGCTCAAAAAAGTTTTGGGTGTGAATGTTCTTGTCGATGTTTATTATGCAATGGTGAACTCAGTACTTTCCTACAATATTCTCCTGTGGGGTAATGGTACTACGATTGATCGGGCTTTCATTGGTCAAAAACGCATAATTCGACTTATATATGGTCTGAAATATACCGAATCATGTAGACCTATTTTCAAAAAACATAAAATTCTAACACTACCTTCTTTATACATTTACCATTCTGTCATTTACGTGAAAAAACACGAATCCAAGTTCGAAACAAATGGAAATTCTCATACTTATCCTACAAGGAGCGGTAATTTACTGAGGTTGAGACAACACCGCACTCAGATTTTTCAAAAGTCACACCTCACAACTGGTCCGCGGTTCTTCAATTCCCTGCCCTCAGATATTAAGGAAATATCATCTCTCGTAAAATTCAAAAAAAAAGTGAAGGATTATCTGCTGGAAAGAAGTTTTTATTCTGTGAAGGAATTTTTGGAGACAAAAATCTGAAGTGAGGTGATTGTATCTGTATTTTTGTATTCGTATTTTATTTTTAATGTGATTGTATTTCAAATGTTTACCTCCAATCATAGTTTTTGGATGTTTTGAATGTTAGACCCATTTTATCTTTATGTCAATATTTTAACTTTTATGTGTTTGTATATTCTCTTTATAATAATTTTATAGAACTTTTTTTTGACGATTCCTATATCATTTTCTGTATGATCAATTCAAGGAATAAATACATTATTATTATTATTATTATTATTATATACTATTCATCCAAACATAATATTCACAATGGAAATAAAAACAGAAAAGCCGATCAATTCCTTAGATTTGACAATTAGTAAAATAATGATGAACATGATTTTTCAATTTTCCATAAACCTTCCCACACTGATATCACTATTCATAATAATTCATGAATGTCCCTCTTTCGGAAGTGAATTTCAATAAAGAACTCAATATCATAAAACAGTTTGCAGCCAACAACGGATACAACGTTAATTTGATAAACAGTATTCTTCCTAAAAAACTTCATGATAAAGCTATTCAAGAAGTTTATCCTACCATCAAGAATAATAATCAAAATTATAGAACTTCAACCTATTTCGGATCATCAACTGAAAAATTAGCTTCATTTCTACAAAAACAGGAAAAAAGTAGCATATAGAACAAATATCACGTTGGGAAGGTTCATCAAAAATAATAAAGACAAAACTTCTTAATTCGAAAAATCAGGGGTATACAAACTCAACTGTGGATCTTGTCCTGAGGTATATATCGGTCAGACATGAGAGGAATTGAAAAGTCTCTAAATTGAAAATTTTCAATGTTATGCATGTTCCCAGATGTGAGTTTCACTCCAAAATATAGTATTCATGCATCTATTTCATCACCCCATGTTCCATTTTATTCAGTAAACCCGTTCAAAAAATTAAAGGAGGGGGGGCACTGTATATACGTACTTACCAGTCAATGCTGCAAAATATTGATAAAACTTGCTTCCATTTGCAAAGGGCACTTTGATTTCCTTAATATTCGAATTGTGCAGGCCGGTCATACTCTAGACAAAACTTTCTTCTCTGGATTTTTCGAAAACGAAGAAAATGATCACGTGTCTTCGTTACTGATAGAGTGTCAAATTGTGTTGATTTTAATAATGCAAGTGTGAGACTGATTGCGTTCAATTGATCACCATAATGGATATAACGTAATTGTTGGACACAACCAATTGACTTCATTGGGCCATTCAACACATTAGTTAATACTTTGTTCTCATCTGACAAAATATATTTAATGCAGTGGAAAAAACGCGGCGTTTCAATAAGAAGAACATGGCATAGTCATTGAACTGGGCGGATGAAATCACTCATTACACGGAAAAAAAGGAATTGTTGAATCGAGCAAAATTTAATTGAATGAAGCAAATAAAAGTGTCATATATGCACGACAAAATATAATCTTGAAAATATTGAATCTATATCTTGCTTAAGAGCGAATTTAAAGTTTATGTCTTGCATGAACTCTGGATCTTATTCAATCATGCACATCCATGAAGAGATATTGAATTGGCACAAATAATATTTTTTTCTGATTCGAAATAACAAGATTGATTCGATCAAATATTCAGTTGATTCAATGATATATTTGGTTGATTCAAAGCAATATTGGGTTGAATCAATGGATTATTTGGTTGATTCAATGAAATATTTGGTTAATTCAATGAAATATTTTGATGATTCAATGAAATATTTCGTTGATTCGAGAGAAAATGTATTTCCATTCGATAAATTTTTTTGTTGAACCAAATTCAGTATTAATTCGGGAGTTTTCTGAAAATTCACATCAATAGAATAAACTAAACTAGGAAACTAGTCGACTTCTAGCATAGATCTCCAGTCTTCACTTCTCTTCAGCTGATGCAAAACTATTTCGGATTGCTAATCATCCTAAGTTCGATTTATCCAGCTGATATTTCGAACACGAAGAATCAGGCTTCACGAATAAGATGAATTCGATGCAAGCATGGGCGAGGCGAAATGATCGCCATCTAGAGGTGAATATTCAACTTGATATTTCATAGATATAACATACTTCGTTGCTATATTCAAGCAATTGATCCGTTCGAAACAAGTTCATTGCTACATCGGAATAAGAAAACTTGTATGTTGTTTCAAAGATATATTCTCATCATCTCAGGAAAATTATTATCATTTCATCAAATCAACAAAATGTTTTCGAGCACGAGTTGCAAACAAATTTTTTTCTACAAACGTCAAAAATTATAGTTTCAAAGTTGTAGTACGCTCATAACTTAATATAAAAAATAGTGTTGAACTGCGGTCCAAGAGAAAAAAAATGTTGAACATTCAGAAATATATGATTTCTTGGATGTTGAATTGCTGGGGATTATGAAGTTTGAATAAAAAAATCTCATATAGTTTACATACAACGCGCGAAGAATGTATTTCGCGGATCGTTTTACTTCGCGCACTGGTTGACTGAAATAAATATGCTTTCAAAAACGTTAATAATGGAGAATATTTGGATTTCTACATCAAAGAAACAAAGTATTCGTGTCTTTTCATCAAAATATAGGTTGTGTTCAAGTGTTAGCTGATGGAATGGTTCTTTGAAACAGTTGACATTGTTGAATGTCGGTAGACAGTAATAAATAACTATGGTTAATTATATTTTCATAATTTATTTTCATAACTTATATACAAACTCTAGGTTATCCTAATTAAATAAATAGAATTACAGTAATAGTCCGTCATTGAGAATGGCAGATACATATTATATTATACACAGAAAGAAAAGATTTTATATTATTAAAACAATAGATTCTGTAACGAATTCAACAAAACTTTATGTCAACAAAATTTCTTTATCGCATTTACAAAGAAATTATCACGAAAAATAAAGAATTGTACATAATGTTTGGTAATTTTAGAATTTTAGAATCTGTATATCATTTATAAAATGTTCTTTGATATTGATAGAAACACTTCATTTGAACATACAGAAATACTGTTATTATATTTATATAGTTCTCCAAATATTGAAGAGATTATATAAGGATTTTAAAAGAAATAGAACAGCGAAAAGGAATTGATGTGATATTTGAAGTGATTTTCTAAATATCCACCTAGTATTTTCTTTCTGTGTATTAAGAAGAAGCTGAAATATTGAAATCACATATATATTTGTTTCCACATACTTATAGGGAAATAATATCATATTATTTACCTAAAACTTATGCGAAATTTTCGATATATTTATTCATGTTTGAGGATGATTGATTATGATATTGAAACAAAATTGAACTTGACTACATATATCAGAAAGTCAAATTATTGGCTTTTGAAATCGACGATATACTAGAACCTGTTTTGATTTTGATCATGGTTCGAGTCACAAATCAAATTATGTCGAAAAATCATCAAGAATCGAGCTTTACATTTCAATAACCTCGAAAAACATTATCTCTTACATTGAAAAATGTTCAATTGTCGATAAGTACTGTAAAACGGAGATTTATGAAACTGCCGGGGTTACATAAAATATTTGTATATTTTTTTAATTCGCGCTAGAATTCCGTGTTCCCAACATTGGTGATAAAAATTATCATAGCATTGCAGGTTCCAGTTCATTGTTCATAGGTTCAGAATTCATTCTGTGAAAAAAATTAAGTGGTTTGTCGAAAAAAAATTACATTTCTTGACACACGAACAAAAACCTCTGTGAACAAGAAAACAATTTGTCGCAGGTAGGTGTTACAATGGAATTGATAGGTACAGTCAAATGCAATGGAAATGTCGCACATGGGCGGTGATGGCACCTCTATACACTGTAGAAAATTCCTTTGAGTGAATGCATATGTGGTTGAGAGTGAATTTACTGATTGAAATTTTTTTGTGAATTTTCAGCTCAAACTAGATATTTCAAACAAATTTGATTAATAATAATAATAATAATAATGTTTATTTGCCAAAAATTTCAAATCATGCATGCAATATATATAATACAACAAATATGGTAAATAAATGGAAGGGGCCCCACAAAAGAACTTTTGCGTGGGCAGACAATTGAATCGGCTCATGAATTACCATTTTACATAGTCAAGTAGGATGGAATTCTAACTCAATCGAGCGTGGACCGAAATTGACACATTTTTGCGTGGACCTTGAGTGAAATTTCACTCAATTTCTTTCAAGTGTACACTGAGAAAAACTGGTTAATTAAAACGTCTAGTTGGTATTTTTTTAGTACCGGTAATTAAAAATATTTGGAATTTTATTAACAATGACAACGTATCCTTATTTCCTACCAATGACTTTTCTATTTTTCGCCAATTATTTGTCATCAATAAAAATACTATTTGTGACAAAATTATCACAGTATTGTCTATTCAGTCAATTAAAATTTCATATTGGGGTTAAAAAAACCTCATTCTGGGGTTACTAACAACAGCTGACTATTTGCCACAACTGATGACACATTTATCGTAAAAGGTTTATTATTATTCATAGCAGAAATTGTTTAGCCATAACTAATAATTTTAGTTGTACTGCGTCGTTCGGGACCGCCTCGCGTCTCTTCGGGACCCACCGGCAAAAATTGCATCTTGCATCTTGCATCTGTTTGTCTTTCTGTTTCATCATTTGAACTTGTATCTTAATAGTGGATAGATCGCACGGTCGTCGAGCTTAGACAAAATAAATGAAATAATTGTCTAGTGTAGCCGGGAGCGTCGTGTTCTTGCTGGTTCACTGCTCTGTGTGTTTTCAAATCACTGTTTTGTGTTTTTCTGCACTTCGCGCTGAGCCATTTGGCATTTGGTTGGCAAAATAATAATTCGCAGTTTACCATCGTTATCTGTGCGTCACTAGTTATCAGGTTAAGAGTTTAGGTACCTATTCACAATTCAGAGTTCAGTTTACGACGGGCGACGGTGAGAAACGTCCAACCGACGTCACGTGTACACTGTGTATATTTATAATTCCCTCTCTTTTTGCTGAGCTGTGGCCTGTGGCACTTACGGTGTGTGGTGTATTTCTGTTCACGATTCCATTGGGAATTGGAAGGAAAATGGCATACAAACTGTTATTATCAGAATGGGGCCTTGATTTTAATTGATATGAAACTATTAAGTTGCCAGAATAACTAAATTATATTTCAAACGTTACTGAATCACTTTTAATAGTAACTAGATTCCATTTCAGTCACAATTAAATATTTAATTTGCAACAACACACTCACTATTAACTTCAGAAGAAATGAGTAATTGTCCCAACTGGCATAATTTGTTGTGATAACAAACATATATTGAAACAGTACTAACAATCTAATTGTCATAACTATGTATCTTGATTGTGGCGAATAGAACTTGGTATTATTCCTTAAAAAGGCTTATTAGTTACCACAACAACGTCGTAGATGACTAAACTAAACTTTTCATTAGAGGCAAATAGGCGTTTCCAGAAAAACAGAATTAGTTATGGCAACAACTAATGCTTGCTGTCCCCTATCGTACTAAAAATTTTTTCTGTAGTTACTTATTTTTTAGTAACGGCTACAAATTTTTTCCCTCAGTGTAGTAACTTATGCAATTAAGAGCGCTCACACCATCCAGCCGCGACATGTTCTTTGCATCTGACTGTACTTCCAAATAGGTATCCTGATGTCAGCCTTTCAGGCCTATATGAACCATGCCAAGACATCACTACTTTGTAACCTACAAATTATTAATTTTTTTGTATTTTTGTTATTTTACAATTATTTTGTCTAGTTCCGTTTACTTCCATAATTTGGATCATTTTTTTTCATATCAGAAAAATGTTTCATATACATATAAGCGATGGTACAGGCCTATATGAATAATTCTCAAGAAATCAGTTGATATACAGGGTGGTCCGTTTTTTAATACGGAAAATTTAACAGCGTATAGTACTCGTTGAAATAATAAAAAAAAATTCCTATGAACATATACTTTTAAACGCTTCATTTTTGAGATATTGGGTGTCAAAAATATATTTTTTTAAACAAAAGTTAGAAACG